ATAAATGATATCGATTTGTGACCAGGTGTATATCTTAAAATGTTTCTGTTAATACCAATATATACTCTATTAGGGAATGTTTTAGTGGTCAATCTGTCTTCTAAGTTAATTCATTATTTCATGTACAAACTATTAAGAAAATGAGTTTTATTATTGGTCATACAAGCAGAATAAAAATATGGGAACATTAATTATTAAAACAAATTAATTTTGAAATAGATAAATTATATTTTAACCTTATAACTAGATGATTGTGTTATTATCATCATCGTTTCTACGCGGAAAAGTAGTGGTGTAGTAGAAGGTCTCTTAGTGAGACGGATTACATAGTGATCTTGTCTTGTTTTACTTTTTAAAACAGCCACTAAAATACAACAGCATTTCAAGTTTAATCATAAACAGACTTCAGTTAAAGAACCACTGAAAACCAGAGAGTACTGGACAGGTGTTTCATCCTAACTTGAAACTCCTCAACAGTACGCATCCATGAACCTTTCAGGAATCGAACCATATAAATATATATAACGACCAAAACTAACTCTTTGTGGTCTGAACGCAGGGGACCGATGTCTGCGTCCTACTGCGTAGCTATCCGAAACTTTCATGAGAGACACATGGTCACAATACGCTCCGAAGACAAAAAAGGACGATCATTCATCTATAGATCTATGTGATTCTATTCACCAACAATAATAACATCAAAAACTCGAAATTGCCTCAACAGTGTTGCCGTTAAGCAGCTATATAGACAAGGTGACTTTCTAAGTACAAAACAAGTACTGGAGAACAAAATTAGTGAACCAAAATTCATCTGTGAGAAGTACCTAAGAATCAGGTGGAATATTCCCAACAAGGTGGTATCAAAACTCTGGCCACAAGAATAACACATCAGCAATTCTCGGAAGCAGTCCAAGGTCAGAATCACGTTAATTCACCCAAAACAAAATCAACTGGTAAAACAATACATCACTAATGTATCACACAACCACAAAGAGAAGCACTAAAAATGGCATTCAACAGCAATATTTTACTTCATAAGTGATAGAATGCTGACGTAATGATTAGAATATTTTTTTGACCGAAAGTTATTGTTATTAATATCATATTGCCGCATGTGCTACTGATACGATTTGTTAGTAGTATATAAAGAGACGTTCATCATCATAAAAAACGTTAAGTAGTAGGGAGATAGATTTGTCTTCTAAGAGAGCAAATGAACTTGCGTTGAGGAGATCCATGGGAAACGTTAAAGGAAGACAAAGAAAGACAATACGAAGGAAGGGTATAAGTAGCGCAACACGGATGATGTGTGTAAATGGTGATTTGAAGATAAGGTGTACATAATTTGGCTATGTGGAGATACCAAATTGCAAATAAACACTCCTTTACAAAGTCTTTCTTCTTCTACAGTTACAATGCTATTGAAATGAATTTAACCAGATATCTTGACCTACAGTTAATATATAAATAAAGACTAATAAAATGACAATCAACAGCCTAGTGACACACACTGAACAATAAAATGACGCAGTGTCTACATAAAAAATTTAGTATTTATTTAAAAAAACAAGCAGTCTAAAATAAATTGAATATTCTCATAATTTATTCAGAACTAATATTTAGAGCGAACAATTGTGGTTTCAATAAATTCTTCTTCAGGCTCTCCAATTATAAATCCATTGATTTAAACATACAATAGCCAGTAAAGGCAAATTAGAATCATATCAGAAAGTGTATTGTGGAACAAGTATAAGATCGGACGGAACAATAGTCAGATAGTTTTTTAATATGCATGGTCAATGAGAACATGGGACAAAATGAGATGAAGTAATTTAATTCAATCCTCTGCCGACTCACACCCAGTATCAATGGTCGGCCTGTAAAATTTGGGCTACCGGTATCACATGCTGAAAATTCCATACTTGTACCAAATATACGGTGTGGAATCAAGCTATAAACAAAAAAAAATTATATTTATAAATATAGTCAACAGAAAATACAGGTTTCAAGAGTGAGTGTCATCAGGGTGTGTGAGACAATATGAAAATAAGCCAACTAAAATAAGAAAAGTACACTCAATATTTTCTGCACAAATATGTAAATTTAATTTTTATTCTTTTAACCACAATATCAAAGCAGTATGTAATCATACTAAGGGGTTAGATACAATACAATATTTTTAAAAAAAAACTATAACATGATTTGTCTTCCTGTCAGTTTTGATCTTCCCGTTGTTTGATTGAACGGAAATGTTCTACGCCTAATTCCCATTGCATAAGAGGTGGCTCTGATGGCCCGAGTGGTTGAGTGGATAACGCTTTGGTGTTGGGAATGATGAGTACTGGGTTCGAGTCTGAGTGAACACAACAATCAAGTAGCACAGCCAAAGTGAAGGTACTCGGGTGTAACTCAACCCCTCCTCTTACAGTTCATAAACTCTTGCATCCTACCTATTCTTCTTTATTGTTCACCCTTATTCTTTCCTGGTTTGCTTAAAAAGGACTATGTCACAATTCGTAGAATGCTGAAGACTGTCAGTCAGTGGGGTGAGTGGTGTCCCTGTGGACCACATAGTTAACGTCGTTATCGATAGGCACTTGACTTCGTGCAGTAAATTTGCTAAATGGATTTTGTCTGACTTTACCCTCAGCTTTCACCTTGCATCTCCACAGGTAGAACAAGAAGTAACTTCAGAAAACTGTATGCTCGTACGTCTAAGTATAAAAATTCTATGATAACATACTTGGCACGTATTTTATGTGATGAAAATAGTGTCAGACAAGAATTAACTCACCTTTTTTCATCTAGTAAATAAACAATTTCCTCCATCCATCCTTATATACCTTCAAGTTTTACTTTTATTATTTCTATTATATTTATGGTCCTGTTGATTCTTTGTTTTACGCTCATAATTGCAAACACCAACTTATCCCTATGACTGCTGCAATCTTTGTTTTTCCCCTCGCCATATCATGTAAAGAGAACATTATATTCAATATTTTTAATCATGCAAGGATTTGTATACCGCATCGACAATACTGTGTGAAACAAGCCCACGGCAATTTTCACTTGTATTATTATTATTACCTTAGCTGTTATCATTATTATTATTATTTCCATTTTATATGCTGCATGTTTTTTTTTGACATTCTGTGTGATTAATTTTATTTATAATTTGAGGAAATTAGATGCAATATTGTGATTAATGCTGAAAATTCCATTCTGTATCACAAGTACTGTTTTTGGAATAAAGTAAATCATTATTATTATTATTTCGAAAGTTGGCCTTCAAGAGCTAATCAGATACAGGGAATGCTAATGGAAGGTCATTCTCAGTCAGATCATGCCCGCCTTTTTGAACGTGGAGAGAGTAGATACAGTATTCTACTTATTTACTAGGTACTTTTTCCATAATTATAATATACTGTTAGATAGGGTTATGACTTTTAAGACTAACCCAAATAAAAGATTTGAGGGAAAAACTAGAAATGTCCCCCCCCAAAAAATATTTTATTTGGGAAGGTTTAGGGTCTAGGGTTAAGGTTAAGATGACCGTTAAAGTTAGGATTAGGAATTAGGATCATGGTTAGAGTTAGGAGTAGGTTGAAGAATAGTGTCAGATATATGAATAGATCTCGAAGTATCATTAGTCCTACTGTGGTGAGTGCTACTTATAATCCGATATAAGTAGTATATCAGAAACGAAGTAACAATATGTTTGGCACACTGGAAAGAGCAATCAAAGAAGAGAACCATGAGAAGAATGTTGCCATATGATGCAGAATCCAAGAAGCTATCGAATGTGACGATATTCGACCAATTTGTCCAAGGTGGGTAAAGCGCGTCGCAGGTGATTCGTCGGCGTTACCGCGAGAACCAACGGGTCCCCATCCTGGCCAAGTCTCAGCGTCCGAAACTTCTGCAGTGCCTCTTGTCTGTTCGCAGGGCTGTCGAACTCGCACACGAGCCTCTCGAAGACCTTGTCCCACCACGCCTCACCTTCCAGCTCCCGAGCGTTGTCGTACGCAGCCTTCGCGCGACCCCTCAGCAGCGTTCCCAAGACAACCATCTTCGCCTTCTGCTCCTGCACTCCAACCAGCTCCGCGACAGCTTCGAAATCCCTGAGGAACGTCCGCACATCTTTCTCCTCGAACACCTGCGGCTACGGCACTTTCATCTACGGCAGAGGCAGCGACACCAATTGTAAAGAAGAAAAGACCGAGGAGGCTGATTGGGATGTTTATTTGGTGAAACGTATGGTACATAGCTAAATTTGGTATACCATATTCTCAACCTACCATTCGCACATCATTTACCACATCCTTGACGAATTGGTCGAATATCGTCACATTCGATAGCTTCTTGGATTCTGCATCATATGGCAACATTCTTCTCATGGTTCTCTTCTTTGATTGCTCTTTCCAGTGTGCCAAACATATTGTTACTTCGTTTCTGATATACTACTTATATCGGATTATAAGTAGCACTCACCACACTACAGTCACCTAGATGAATACATCTACTGAGAATGTTATGATTTTCCTAAAGATCATTTGTGTAGTGACTGGGCGAATCTGAATTGTGATTGGTTGTTCAAGATCACCGTGGTTTTTGTTATCATAGCTTATATATATATATATATATGATACAGAAGTCCATCATATCTATCCATTTGCACTGCAATATTTTTGAGTGTCGAGGTATCATTCTCTAACTTCACGACGGTGCAAGTGCTGCTAGGGTTGTTGTCCAGGAGGATAATGAAATCTTCTGAAATAAAACCATCTGGCTCAGGAAACACACTAACACCAACATCGTCCATTACCCACCTCAGATATTAAGAGTTTTCTCTACCATCAATATCATTACTTAAGTTCCTTTTTTATTCTATGATTCAGTACGCTTGGTATTACCGCGTTTTTAGTTTTTACCTTTGATAACATATATATATATATTATTGACTGTCGTTGTCTTATATTAAAAATTTCATTGATTAATAGAGGATCAAATACTGGTAAATCAACAGTGGCCAAAAGACTTTGTGAACATTTCAAATCTATTGGATATGATGTTACATATTTAGCAATGGATGATTATTATCGGGTGAGTGTGTTACAAATGTACTTACTGCATTGTATATATATATTATCAGATTGTTCCTTAGTAAATTATATATTTGCGCATCGGTGATTCGGTAGTGGAATTCATGCTAACCACGCCGTACGTGCGCCGCCCAGTCGACGGACTCTTAAATCTCACTCAGCCGGCTGTAAGTCAGGTAAGGAAGGAAAGTTTAGCATGAGGCTAACTACCCTACTTCGTAAAAAGCTACGCCACTACTACTGAAATCTTAAGCCCTATGTTTCAATCGGGTATGAACGGGAGAAGACGAAAGACTGGGTAAAGAAATAAAGGTTTTTGTATTTCCCAATGAATGAAAAACAAAACGATATTGTTTTTACTGACGTTTCGCTATTTAATGCTAATAGCTTTATCAAAGTATTATTTAATAATATTTGGGTAAAGAAATGTTTAATTAGTATCTCTATATAACGAAATTATGTACACCTTGTCTCCAAATAGTCATTTGCACAGATCTTCCTTGTTGTGCTACTTCTGCTTTTCCTTCGTATTGTCTTTCTTTGTCTTCTTTTCATATCTCCCATGTATCCCCGCAAAGCTGGTTCCTTCGCTCTCTTTTACGTCAAATCTATCTCCCTGTTATTTGATGTTTTTTTATGATGATGAACGTCTGTTTATATACTACTGATAAATGTTATCAGTAGCACACACCATATTGTACACTGTCTAAAAACTGTTTTTCAACGAAAATGAAAATTGAATCTAATGATAAAAGTGAATGTAGTTGTGTCATTTTAATATTTATAATCGAATCACTGGAGAAATCTGATATTCACTGAATCTTTGTTCATCTATTCAACGCCGTACACGTACAGTTGAAATGACCCAATGCCTACACCGGAGATATGGAAGGTGGTGACAAACAACAAGTGGAAGAGGCGGAGAGAGGCGAATTGTGAAGCTAGGGATTACTAGCAATAATTTATGCTCCAAACGTCATCAAGTTATTGATACTGCATCACTGTGTGCTATTTGAAATAAACTTACCTAATATGAAATTACATTCTACCACAGTGCTGAATTTCTACACTTACATTACAGACAGTGTGAGGGTCATTCAAATAATTTTTCAGTCTAAACTAAATTATTTCTGATTTATCATGAGTGAAGCAACCACTTGATGTTTTGATCAATGATTAGAGAGCTCAGATGATTCTCATGAACAGTTCTCACTGATTCGCTTGAACTAGTGCTATGTATTTCAGCAGTATATGTACAAGTTGGTATTGGTGGTATTGTTGACCTGAAACTTTAAAAAGATATTCTGTTTCTGCAAAAACACACAAGCAATGATAAGCTTACGACCATAATCTATTGGCTGTTTCCTAAATTCGTAGCTGGTTAACGAAGATAGCACAAACATGCATCGAAAATGCACACATAAGTAAAGGCAGGAGAAATGTAATGTCATTTAGATGCAAATAGATGTGTCGTAGAAGCAAAAGTTTAATACAGAGAAGTCAAAATCGTCAGAATTTCCATTATCTATCATTGTGAATGATATTCTGAAATGTTACAAGTGTTTGCAACCACTGATTCTACCATCCTGCAGATCTCTGTTGAACAGTCTACAAGCCAAACATCACTGATTTCAGGGATTGATGGAGTTTCTCAATGTGACCACCATAGCCACGTAACTGGGTATTATTATTATGAAAAATGTTATTTATCGGAATAATTATTCTTCCGCTAGACTAACTTTTGGTTCACAAGGTAGGTATTTTACAGACTTCATACCCTCACTTCAGCTAATATCATTCAACCAGAAAGACAGTAAGTTAAGTGTTATAACACAGAAAAATGATATTCAAGTATTGGTTTGTAGGGATTCGGTTGATTGGTTACAGGATTTCATCATGAGCTGACAGCAGTTAGAGAGCCATTGGAAAACCAGCTGGGAAAACTGGACAGCTATTTCGTCCTGTTTGGGACTCTTCATCAGTACGCATCTACCGGGGTTTGAACCCAGGACCTTCTGGTTACAAGGCGAGGTCGCATACCATTAAGCCACCGGGACTTGATCCAATGGCGCATGAATTCTAACTTCTACCAATTCACGATATAGCGCGACCGCTAGCCAATGTCTTCCGCGAGTATTTGTCCTCACACCTGACCTGCTGCACCCAACTGGTCACGACTTCCCACTGGAACCCTAGTTAACTACCTACCTGATTTTGATCCCTGAAATCAGTGACATTTAGTGTGAACCGTGAAGAGAGGTGTAAACTGTTTGACTAGATCTACAGGATGGTAAAAATCAGTGATTGCAGACATTTTTTAACATTACTGAATATCGTTCACTATGGTGTATTGCAGAAATTCTGAGGGTCTTCAACTCTCTTTCTCCATATTTACTTTTGCTTTCATCGGACGATAACATAATGGCTGACTAGCTTCCCGAAGACTTTCACCAGCCTAAGTCATTCCGTCTCTCCGATTCCATTAAAGAGTCAGCTTATTTTTTAAAAATATTTTTGGTGTGCTTTGAAGTTCCTGTAGCAACTGTGTTGATCTTCAGGGGTAGGGTCACTAGCCTCACTCTCAGACTTCCCTCTTTTTCCGGGCTTAGGACTGGTTAGTAAACTAGGCCAGAAAGGATAGACAATAGGGAACTATGGGAAAGCATCCGTTAAGAACCTATTACCCAACAGATATACCAAAGGAAGTGGAGATGGATGGATTGGACACATGATAGGGAGACCGTCGGACGACACTGCTTGCCAGGCCCTAAAGTGAAACCCAAAAGGGAAGCGGCCAGTTGGATTTCTAAGGGTGACGTGTAGAGGATGCTGTGAGGAGAAAATGAGAACTTATCGGCAGTCATGCGGTCAGCTAAAGACAAATGCAGCGAACAAGATGAAGTGGAAATGTGCTGCTGAAGCCCTCACTTGGAACCTAAGGGAATAATAGTGATAAGTCATCTTTTTGTAATAAATCACCCCGTCTACCACACATCTATTACCAAATAAATGACATTCATTTTTCTCTCCTTGTGTTCTGTGTGATTTTTCAAATTGTGTGCGTGTGTGACTGTGACAACTTGAAATGATGCAGACCTGCACAAAGTGCTTTGTCTTCTTATGATCTATACACTACTATAAGAGTGTAAGTAGAATTTCCAGTGCAGATAATCTTGACTGGCTTACTGTATAATTTAATCAGTAAACATGCCTACTTCAGTCCCTTTTCTCTGTAAAGTACTAGGTGGTTTGGACAAGATTTCGATAAATTAAGCTGAATTAAGCAAGTACTCATGAAGCCTGTTGCATTGAGAAGACTAAAATTGAAACTAAGTCTACTGCAAAATACCTCGGTTTAGTTCTATCTTTCGACCTTACTTGGACATCTCATATCCTAACAATTTCTAAGAAAGTGTTCTGTCTAACGTACTACATTAAGAAACTAAGACAATCTGTAATCACCCAACCTCTACTTTCACAATTTGTCAACTCTTGTATCTTACCTATTCTACTTTACTGCTCCCCCTTAGTCTTTCCTGGTCTACTGAAAAAGGACTATACCATCCTGAGAAGGATGTTGAAGGTAGTTAGTAGGACTAGTGGTGTAAATCTCAGTCAGCTCGTCACTACTTTAGTTGATAGGCATCTGAATACATGCGAAAAATGGTCTAAAACCATACTCTCCGACCCCCAACACCCCCTCTATTCCCAACTCTCGCCTTGTATCTCATCAAGTAGAACCAGAAATCAGTATAAAATAATTTATGCTCGTACAACCAAGTACAGGAACTCAACGATACCATACTTGGCCCGTGTTCTAAGCGACAGAGACAATGTTAAGCGCGAAACCTATGACTTGCTTTATTGTTAACAACATAATTTTAGGCTCTTTTATTTCTCTCTTATTTTGTATTCTGTAGTGAACTCCTTCTTAAACATACTTAGCTACCTAAATTATTAACATTGGCTTCCTTTTTTGTACTTTACTGTATTCCTTCTTTTGTGTATCTACTGGTTCCGACTATATTAGCACTATGAGTATTACAAAATTGTCCTGTCATTAACCATCATGTAATTATCAGTTTTTGTGGTTGTTTTCTCTTATTTTTTCTTTTTTTTGGGCAATATTAACCGACAATCATTGGTTGTGAAAGCCATTATCACCATCTTAAAATTTTGTATGATGCAGGATTACTCACACTACCACTACAAACACTGCATTAGACCTGACAATAAAAAACAAAACAACAACCCTGAAATGTTATTTTATGTTTGTTTAGTGTTGTTTCAACCTAAATTAACTGATCATCTTGGCGATAAACATTCTTAAATATCATTTCATAACTTCTTGTATGATTATAGCTTTACTGTCACCATGCATAATCATATCATAGCTTCCACTACCCAATACTGAGATATTATTATATGCTGTTTTATTTTCCTTTCTACTTCTTGGTATTTTTTCGCACTTTTTTATTATTTTGTGTTTTTTGTATTTTTTGTCGTTGTTGTCTTTATATTTGTTTTTTGAAATACTCCTTTTAAATGTTTAATAAAATTAGATGCAAATATTGTAGATATGTGCTGGAAATTCCACACTGTACCACTAGTACTGTTTCTGGAATAAAGCAAATTATTATTATTATTAAATCTACCGGACTGAAGTTACGCTAGTTAAGTAATCGTGTAAATAATGTTTTAGTCGCTTTGATGTTTTTTTACACGAAGCATACTTTGTTAAAATCTGAAGAAACTCAACCAAAGAAAGAGCAAACTCACCAATAAAATTATCCACTACTACGAAGTAGGCTGAGAACCATCAGAGTTACTAGTTATCACTGACACCCTCCAAGCTATTGCATTGCTTGCCTTTGTGTTTCCTTGCTACTGGAGTTACGCTTTAGATAAGATAAAAAGTCAACATCAGATTGGCAATTTACTCATTTCGAGGAGGTGTTACCAGTTCACTAAGTAGTTGACCAGAGATCTGGTGATTTGAACTGATTCGGCCCTCTGAGCTGAATCAAATTGGGTACGCCATCAATGAGCTGGGCTCCAAACGAGCGAAACGGCTGTCTGGTATTTTGACCACTTCTATCTGGCTGGCTAACAAGCACTACTGGTTAATATAAGTAGTATAAAACTACTCATCGCAGTCAATCAGTAGTATGTAGTTTTAAATGTCAATAGGAATGGTGGTGACTATTATTATTATTATTGTTCCCTTGGGTTCCTAGTGGAACATAGGGCTTCAACTGCACGTCTCCACTTGCTTCTGTCTTCTGCTGTACTTTTCACTTGCATCCATGTTATTCCATACTGTTTCAGTTCCTCATCACACGATCTTCTCCATGTCACCCTTGAACGTCCCACTCGCCGCTTCCCTTTCGGGTTCCACTCCAGAGCCTGACGCGCGATGTCACCCAGCGGCCTCCTCAGCGAGTGAGTGTCCAATCCATCTCCACTTTCTCCTGCATATTTGTTGGGCGATTGGTTCCTGTTTCGCTTGTTCCCATAGTTTCTGGTTTGTGATTCTTTCCGGCCATCTGATCTTCAGTATAGAACGAAGACAGCTGTTGATAAAGGTCTCCCTGCAACCTGTTGGAAATATTCTTTGTGTCCCACCAAGTTTCTGATCCATCCGTATAGAAGAACTGACTGACTTGACGTTTGTATTGAAAATCCGAATTTTGTTGTTGATGCTGAGTGACAGCGGAAGATTTCCAGATTGGTTTCAGGTTGATGAATGTGTTTCTCGCCTTCCCGATTCTCGCCCGATTTGACATCTTCGTCCGTTCCTCCTGTAGTTGAGACAATGCTCCCTAGATCAGCGAAGTGAATGAAGTAACCTCTTTCAAATCCCTCCCGTTGATGGTGATTGGCGCTGGATGTTGCTGTTGTTGTTGGTTGGTTATTTTCATAACCTCCGTCTTGTTAATGTTCACCTGGAGTCCTGTCTTCTCTGGCTGCTTCTTCGACCAGTTTGTCAGTTTTCGCTTGTAAGTCTTCGATTTTGTGTGACATCAAACATAAATCATCCACGCGCGAAATCCAGGTCTTCTAGGTTCTTCACGTCGGTCCAGGATATCCCTGTCTTCTCGTTTCCCACTGTCTGACGCATAATCGAGTCCACCACAATTAGGAATATCATTGGTGATAATAAGCACCCTTGTCTGACTCCTGTGTTTACTCCAAACGCCTGGCTGAATTTTCCGTTGTGGATCACTTGACATGTGCCGTTGTCGTACAGCTGTTGAATAAGGTTGATGAATATTTCGGGTACGCCGTAGTACTTGAGTAGTTTCCAGATTACTTCGCGGTCAACGCTGTCGAAGGCCTTCTCAAAGTCTATGAAGTTGAGGTAGAGGTTTGATTGCCATTCCATGCTTTGTTCGATGATAATGCGTAGAGTTGCAATTTGGTCAGAACATGATTTGCCTTTCCTGAATCCAGCTTGTTCTGGTCGGAGTTCTGTATCCAGTGCGTCCTTGATTCTCTCCAGGATGATGCGACTCAGGATTTTACTTGGCGTCGACAGGAGCATGATTCCTCGCCAGTTCTTGCAGAGTCCCAGGTCGCCCTTCTTTGGTAGTTTCACGAGGTAACCTTTCCTCCAGTCAGTAGGCACCTTTCCCTCTTTCCAGATCTTTTGCAATAATGGAGTCAGCATATCTGCCGTCATTTCTGGGTCCGCTTTCAGTGCTTCCGGGGGTATTCCATCTGGTCCAGCTGCTTTTCCAGCTTTCAGAAGCTTGATTGCATTCATGACTTCAGTTTTCGTTGGAGGATTGGTGTCAACTTGCAGTTGTGTACGTGCTGTTGTTGGTATTACTGGACAGGTTGCAGGTGGTGGTCGGTTCAAGAGTCCTTTGAAGTGTTCCGCCCACTGTTTAATCTGTCCTTCTTCTTTGGTAATTGGGTTCCCTTGGCTGTCTTTTATAGGTTTCACTTGTGTTGATCTCTTCCCGGATAGAGACTTGGTTATCTGATATAGTGTCCTTAGGTCCCTTTTGCCTGCTGCCTTCTCAGCTTCAGTAGCCAGGTTGTCGTAGAATTGTCTTTTGTCCTTCCTGGCACTCTTCTTCACTTCTTTGTCCAGTGCTGTGTAAGTTGAGCTCAGCGTCTCTTTCTCTTGTCCATCTTTGCATTGAATCATTTTCCCTTTCACCATTCTCCTCTCCTCTATTAGTTTCCAAGTGTCTGTTGAGAGCCATTCCTTGTCTTGTTTCTTCTTTCTTCCTAAAACCGTTGAACACGTTTCGTTGAAAATTACCTTCAGAAAGTTCCAGTGGTCTTCCACGAATGATTCCTCAGTGGTGCCACGTAGTGTTTCCTGCTTTGCTCTGACAGTTGCAGTGAAAATGTCCTGTGTGATTGTGTCCTTCAGTTTGTGAGTGTTGAACTTGCATTGTGGCCTATCCCCAGGTATCCTCGAGGCTTTCAGCTTCACCTTGAAAGTCCCTTGTACCAGATAGTGGTCTGAACCCACATCTGCTCCTCTCCTCGATCTTGTGTCCAGTAGGCTCCGTCTCCACTTCCTTGAGATTGAAATGAAGTCTATCTGGTTACTTTTGTTTGTCCATCTGGTGAAATCCATGTTGCCTTGTGTATATCCCTATGTTTGAACACACTGCCACCAATCACCAAATCATTGAAGGCGCAGAAGTCTGAGAAGAGTTCACCATTTTCGTTCATTTCACGGAGGGCCTCACGACCCATAGTGGGTTCTCTTCCTGTATTGTCTCCTCCCAGTTTCGCATTCATGTCGCCCATCAGGATTTTGATATCGCTCTTTGGGACGTAGTCCATTACTGTTTGTAGTTGACTGTAGAAATCCTCCTTCTTCTCATGTTCTGAGGCGTTTGTAGGCGCGTAACACTGAATGATTGTAACCTTTTTTCCTTTTGAGTTGAACCTGGCTGTCATTATCCTGGAGGAGATTGGTTCCCACTGCATGAGAGCTTTAGCCACTGTTGGTGACATCATGATGGCTACTCCCTCGGTGTGCTCGTGATTGTCCTCTGGGTGACCGGAGTAGATTATTGTCTCTCCAGTTGATAGTTGGCTCCTTCCACATCCGTTCCATCTGCTCTCGCAGATTCCCAACACTTCTATTTTATATCTCCTCATTTCTGCGGCTACCTGAGCAGCCTTCCCAGCTTCGTACATTGTACGAACATTCCACGTCCCCATCCTTATTTTTGCTTTCATCGAAAGAAGGCACATCGGCTGACTGGCTTCCCGAAGGCTTTCACCAGCCTGCGTCATTTCACTTCCCCGATTCCAGCGAAAAATAAGGTCACTATTTGTAGTTTTAGAATTTTTAATATATTTGTGCGTTGAAGTTTTAGTAGCAATTTGGTTAAGTTTTCGGGGTGGAGTTGCTAGCACCACGCCCCAACCCTCCCTCTTTATCCGGGCTTGGGACCGGCTAGAATACTAGTGACCTAGTAATCTAGGCGAGGTTAATGGTGGTGACTAGGAATATTAAATCCAGGTTGCGCGTTTCGTCCTATCTGCGACTCATCAACTGGATGTACCTGAAATCCCCAGTGAGCATTATCCACTACAGTCACCTCTTATGTCTAAGTGTCCTTACTAGAAGTCGTTATTTCAACATTTTTGCCTGATGTGAAATGGAAAATTAGGCTTAAAAATCAATTTTAATGAAGTTGTTAGATTTTATTATTCGGCTCAGAATAGAATCCGTTTTTTTCTTGAAATATCCTTCTTTCATAGAAATAAAGATATAATGTTAACGTGTTTTCTTTTCTTTTTTTATAAAATCTCAATTCAGCCATATGATGATGAACATCATGTTCGAAATCCGGTGACAAATGCACCAAACTACGATTGTAAGTTATCCATTTGCTGTACTTATAAAAACGCAAAAACACTATTTGATCACACTAGAGAGTATAACCAGTGTGTTGTGAGTCTAGACCTCGGTATTGGTGCAGACTGATCACACTCTAGTGACCAATCAATGTATCCATTACAGTTGTGACGGAAGTTAATTGTGAACCCGAATAGCTCAGTGGCGGTAATGTCTCTAACTGCAGGACTGGGCAACTTAAGTGGGATATGAGTTCTTTCAAAGCTTCAGATACGCCTACCTGAAAAGCGGCAAACCTAGGTCGAAGGCTTCCTGCTTCCATCATCTCCAATCACCTAACATCAAATACAAAATCATTTGCAGGTGTAAGGTTATTTGCTGTATTAACAATACATTGAGTAAAGTTAATTTTAAACTAATAATCTAGCCACCTTAGATAAGTGTTCGAGTTCTTCTTAAGCTCTCTTAGTAGAATATGGCTGCACATATTTTGAAGAATAAATTATACTGATTATTTAATGAATACTGTGTAGGGTTAAACATGACTATTTTTTCATATTCGAGATAAAATTAGTCGACAGGAAAATTTATTTAAACGTGATAAACTTTGAAGATAAACAGTCCAATGTCACAAAAACTCGAAGATCTTCAGATGAAAACTAAAAGTTTGATAGACGAAGAAGCGAAGACGGAAATTCAGATGAAGACAGAGAAGACAAAGGTGATGAAGACACTTAACTAAAAACAACAGCCTCAACAAGTACCAATTACTAACAATGGGAGAAATCTGAAGGAAGTCACTTTCTTCATTTATCTAGAAGGCATCGTCTCAAGTACAGGTGATACGGATGAGGACATTAAAGCTAGGATGGGAGAGGCATGACTGACGCTCATTACTGTGAAATCAGTGTGGAAATCTACTGAACTAAGCAAAGAGAAAATAATTCAGATTTTCAGCACTTCTGTGTCAAATCAGTGCTCCAATATGGTTCACAACTTGCTTCAAGTCACTGAAAACATTTCCATCAGGCCTACTGCAAACTTTTATCAAATTGCTGACTTCAGCCCATAACTAAAGATCAGATAGCCAGGATGGATTAGCAAAACTAAGGACTCTAGGAATGAACCAATCAAATATCAGTTGCCTAACAAATGTACTGAAGAAAATGGAAATGGATGGATCAGAAACATGCCGGAAGGACCGTTGAGTGACATAGCTCACCAGACCATTGGTTGAGTGGAACCCGAATGGGTAACGACGATTAGGGCATCTGGAGGTGGCGTGGAGGAGATCATGCCAGTAGGAAATGAAAGTGTTTGGACAGTCATGGAGCCAGTTAAAAAGGACTGCAGAGTGAATTTCAGATGCGCTACTGAAGTATTATGTTCTACTAGAAACCCGACAGAATAATAATAATAATCAAATCCCCATTCTAACTGCTTTCCTGTGGTATATATGGAGGTGTATATTACAACCTCTTTTACCTACCTGTGAAGCATCATTTCAACTACAGGCGGACGGAACTGACGAGGATATCAATGTAGGAATCGGAAAAGCAAGACAAGCTTTCACTACTCTCAAGTCTATGTGGAGGTCAACAACACTCAGCATCAAAAATAAGATCCGGATTTTCAACTCCAATGTGAATTCAGTCAGTGCTACTATACGGATCAGAGACTTGCACTGCGCGTCATGAAGAGCACCTCAAACAAACTACAGGCCTTCATTAACAGTTGTCTTCGCTGAATACTACTCAAGACCAGATGGCTGGCCAGAAAAGATCAGCAACAGAGAGGGATCTCTGGGAGCGAACTAACCAGGAACCGATTGTGCAACAAATAGGCAGGAAGAAATGGAGGTGGATTGGCCATACTCAGAGGAAACAAGCCATCAAGTGACATCACTAGACAAGCCATCGCTCAAGTGGAACCCGAAAGGGAAGCGGCGAGTTGGTCTTCAGTGCAAGGGTGACTTGGAGGAGGTCATGTGAAGAGGAGATGAAAGCATGTGGGCAGACTTGGAGCCAGGCGAAGACTCCAGCAGAGAACCGAACGCAATGGAGACGCGTGGCTGAAACCCTATGTTCCTTTAGGAATTAAAGGAAACAATAATAACTATTATTACCTTATCCTCACGATAACAGCAGTCAATAATTGCTGACTTTTGGTAACATGATTGACAATTGTTTAGAGTGCTGTAGAATAATCCTTACTCTTCCATATTAGAACCTATTTTCATCCACAAGTATATTACTTCATTACTATATATTTCTTTTCTATTTGTGTACTATTCCAAGGTGCATCGATATCAAGTGATGTACTCTTTTGAAATGTTGAACAAATAACTGAAACAGCTAAAACTGAGAAGAAGCCGAGTAAATTATTGATTATGTATTTTTCTTTTTGCTTCATACTCCATAAAGTGTATGTTTCAGGAGGCTGATGGGTTTTATAATCCTAGACTGAATAAGGAATTAGCATACTAGTCAACAGCTGTCTTCGCTCTATACTCAAGATCAGATGGCCGGAAGAATCACCAACAAGAAACTATGGGAAAAAACAAAACAAGAACCAATCGGCCAACAAACAAATATGCAGGAGAAAGTGGAGGTGGATTGGACACTAGCTGAGGAGGCCGTTGGGTGACATCGCGAGTGGAACCCGAAAGGGAAGCGACGAGTGGGACGTCCGTGCAAGGGTGACATGGAGGAGATCGTGTGAAGAGGAGTTGAAACAGTATGGATTAACATGGATGCAGGTGAAAAGTACGGCAGAAGACAGAAGCAAGTGGAGACGTGTAGTTGAAACCCTTTGTTCCACTAGGAACTCAAAGGAACAATAATAAATAATAATAGTCGTTTTATACTACATTCTAAGGAAAACCGACAAACCTCGACTACGTCTTTTAGTTGATCATAACTGATAAGCGAACAGTGAAGTAATTTTCTAACTGCTCAAAACAGCTGACCAATGCTCCTCGATAGAGTTTTCTAACTGATGAATGTTCGTGATGAAATCCACCTTGTTATCATCTATCAAATCCCAAACAAATGCAACATTTAGTAATCCAATGTTTGTGTTGGAAAAAAGATATTTTAATAGTCTTCTAACCAAATATTTATTAAACCCTCATTATATATATACGTATGTATGTCCCTTTTATTACTGTCGTAGGTGAAGCAGCGATCAACTGGGATGACATAATTTCTGTTATTAATATATGGAAAATGGATAAAACATACAACGGGAAACCTAGAATACTTATAATTGAAGGTATAATGATAATGAATATAGAGTGAGTTACTTTTAATATTATTTATGCGTTTTATTTAACTTGAACAACAATGAGTAAAATACTAATACTCTTAGAATAAGAATGTGAAGATATCAAACGTTAAATTAATAGTAATAATAATAACAATAACAGTAATGATCATTTGGGTCTTCCAGGTCGAGTATGAAGACGAATACCCGCTGAGGACATTAGCTAGCGGTGGCGCTAAAAATCATAAGTTCACAGAAGTTAGAATTTGTAGGTTATTGGATTCCGTCCCAGTAGTTGAACAGTCAATGAGCTCGCCTCGCAGCCTGAAACTCCTTGATCCGATTCCTGGCAGGGTCACGTGTGTGTACTGTTGAAATGTTTGAAAGTATGATGAAAGAATTGTTCAGTACCCCCTGGCTTTCAATGGTTCTCTAAATGATATCATTCCGCCATCAAGCTTGAAACTACTCAAGTCCCTACAAACGCTTGAAAATAATAATAATAATAATAATTAATAATGGCTTTATTCTAAACAGTACATTTGATACAGTGTGAGAGTCTCAGCATGCAGTACAATATCGCTTTGAATTTCCTCTTTACATTACATAAGAAGGCGAAAAGTAATTAACAGAATCGTAAGTGTCAATAAAATATAATATATAAAATATAAATTATAAAAATAAAAATAAAATAAATAAGAAAAAATAAGAAAAATATTAAAAAAATATAAAATATATAAAAATTTATAAATATAAATATATAAAAAATATAAAAATATGTAAAAAAATTTGAGTGTGTTAGTGGAAGCAAATACATAGGTCGTACAGAAAGGCGATTGTCTATTCGCATGATGGAGCATTTGCCAAAATGGTTGAAAACAGCTGAGTACAAAGTGCCGAAATCCTCAATAACAAAACATCTTGTGAACTACGCACATGATATCGATGAGGTCAAGTCATTCACTATTGTCAGCAGACAAAGAAACAAGAAGATGCTTGCAATTGCAGAGGCTTGTGCAATTCGAGTTTATAAACCAGGTCTCTGTGTACAAAAGGAGATGGTCGTGACTCTGAATCTACCATGATAATACGTTTTACTTATTATTCTACCTCTTATTATTATTATTCTTGATTCACTTAAAACTATCCTTTATCAGTAGCATTATCTTAACTCACTTCAACACTATTATTATTGTTATTATAACTATTACTATTGATATTACTCTGTTTGCAATTCTTGTTATATTCTCCAATGTCTAATTGTTTATCTAGTGATGTAATTGAAGCGTAATGCAATTTATCTTAATTTTGATCTCTCATTCTCTCTCTCCCCTTATCTATTTGAACATGACCTGGAAAAACATTCGCACTCGTCTTTCTGCATGAGTAATTCAATGTAATTTGTTTACTTATCAGTCTTATATCTCCCAATGTAATTTCAAAAGTATATATATCCGTGTATGTAGAGTATTCAGCTGAAGAGGAGTTCTACCGAAATTTGATGAATTCATTAAATCCTGCTTTATTAACCTTTATTGTTTGTTTTAAAATATAAATGTAAAATTAAAATTACTAGAAATATTGACATCGATGTACTAGTGATAAGAAAGGACAATTTATTCCCTGCTTCGCATTAAGAAAGTAGTTTCATGCCTATTCATGACTCATTCAAACAGTCTTCGTTAGGTGAAACCATAAATGAATAGGGTGAAAAGGGGATTGGTCGATATACACGTCTTGTAACTTTTACGGTAAAACACACAGGCTCTTATTCCAGCCCAGCTTATTATTTCAACTTCATTCATCGCCCATTACAAATTTTACTCTGTTCTAGCATAATCTAATTCGATCTGTCGGGGATTGAACCCAGACAAGGTTCGGCGTGGTTGGCGAGAATTCTCCCACTAATCCACTGACACACTTGGTTTGTGCTAATTGATTATATAAAATGTTCACTATACATAATGTGAATAACAGTCATCTGTGTCATTTAATATTCTATTATTATGTTTTTCTGTTTATTACACATAGGGAGATCCGAAAAATGATGGATCTACGAATGTTTTTCAGAATAACATATGAGAATATGAGAAAAAGACGAAAGTAAGCATTTGTACATTATTTGTTGGTTTGTGATATTTTCCCGTCATGGATTAAAATCTACGAACTTCATACATTTACTTCCAACTGAAGCCCTAACAACCCCTCTCCCTGCCTAATATATATATATATATATATATCAGTGGGTTAAGGTAATTTCAAGCTACTTATGCTGTTCAGCAGTACAGCCCTATCTGAAATTTTGTTCATACCCAGCTAACACACTTCTCACATGTTGTCTGAACGTCGGTTCACTATGCGTTTGTAGTGCAAAGATACTGGGAGTGCTGTTAATAAGCTACACTTTACCAGCAATTACTAAACGTAATTTACCTAATAATTCAGTAATCTATCTAACCGGCAATTAGTGACAACAAACACATTTTCAAAAGATCTAGTTAATTGGTAATGTGCTCTAATTAGCAGTATATATGAGTAAAATAAAAGGTCACAATAATCCAGGGGAAAAGAATTAGAAATTATCTAACGAATATGGCTGCATTACAAACTCAGAAAATGTGTGTGTGTGTTGACTGCACAACGGAAAAGCGCAAAATGGTCTTGGAGCCAGTCCGAGTGTATTCACGTTTTAAAAATTGGAAATTCCACTACAGTAGAAAAACTGAGGAATACTTCGATTTTAGGGGTAATTTGATTCACTTTGAAGCTTAATTAGGAAGTTAAATCAACCCCCTATTGTATTGTTTAATGATAAAAAACCTCTGTTCATTAAATTAAAATTTAATGGTGACTTATCAAGTGAGAGTTTATTCCAGAAACTTTCCAGGAGTATACGAAGATCGTTTTTTGCAGCATACCTATGTTTGTCATTCTCTAGCCGACGAATGATTGGGACACAAACGAAGGATAAGCTAGATAGTTTTGCCACATCTATGTGTATTTATCAATTCAACTGCACCTGCGGTGACAGTTATATTGGGCGTACTACTAGACAGCTTAGCCAACGTGTTAGTGAACATCTCCCATCGTGGTTTGGCAAAGGACAGACAAAAACAATTCGTAGCTCAATTTTGTCACACTTAATTGATATTGGTCATGTAATCGAGAAAACGAGTGCCTTCAAAGTAATTCATCGTATCCCACCGAATCTTTCCAGTAGACTTCGTATTCGTCTACTGCACACAGCTAAGGCGATAGGCATTCGAACCATTTAACCTAAACTATGGATTCAAAAGAAGTTCATACAGTAATTATCCCTCTCTTGGCCTATTAAGACATAATCAACTAATGACTTTTCCACCAACCCTTATTTATATTTTCAACCCCTTTCTTATCATCCCTTAATCTTATCACATCTTCATTAAAAACGTGTTTCATTTACTTTCCTTACAATCTAACATTACTTAATCGGTTCATTTGTTTTTACTAGCCTTTATCGACTACTTCTACCTGAGCATTTGTTTGTTTAATCATGCTGTTTTTCATTATTCGTGTTATCACAGATTGCCTCACTTTTTCATCCTTATTATTGATAAAAACCATTATTATTATCATTACTACTATTATGACTAATTGCATAATTCATATTCACCATCTTATTATCCTATTGACAAAACACCATGATTGGTTTATATTTGAATATTTATTTGTAAAGTTATGTATATTAGAGTTAAGCCTGATGAGATCTGATTGAAAACAATATTGTTCGTTTGAAGGTGTTGTTCTAAATTTTACTATGGACATCTGACATTTTCTGTTCTTCTGTATCTATGGCATTGCCGAAATAATCCATTCCTTATCATGTTGACCCTATCTCACTTCACAATAAATGATGTAGAGAGGTTGACAGAAATTTAAGCACAATGGGACCAAAATATTCCACTATTCGGTCACATCTGACTACTGTTCTTAGAAATCTGGGAAAGTTGGAGCTGTTTGACTGTAGTATATTTTGAAATGTTCCGAGTCGGTTACTTAAACCTATGAATGGCATAACTCACAGTTAATTACTTCTCTTTTTTATCGTATTCATCTTTAACAGATTCTTACTACTTTTTATTCAACTGTTCCCTACTTTCACAGCCCCTTTTTTAATTTATGTCAGTAATATACTTCAATATGAATAAAAATTTAATACACTATACATCATCTTTATTCTTCTTCTTCAGAATGAGAACATATATAATAGAAGACCCACCGAATTATTTTGAACAGTATGTTTGGCCATCATATGTGAACACTGTTAATCAATTGGCGTATATTAAAGACCCTCCGATAAGTAAGCAGAATGACGTCAATAAGGCGAATATATAGTTTTGTTTATTTGTGTTTCTCTTTTTTTTGCGTCATCCATTTTCGTTATTCCATTTTAAAATGACATCACGAATCGAATTTATGCAAAAAATACTATTGGTATAGACATTTATCTCACATAGTCGTTATATATGTATATATATGCTTTTATGAAAATATAATTGATAGGTGATAGAACTTCATGTTAGAGAATAAAACACCTGGCGTGTTTTTATAAACTGAACTTATAATCTAGTATTTAATTGGTGAATGGTGACTAGCGGTGGAATACAGGATGCGAATTTCGTCCTATTCGGGACTCGTCATCTGGATGTACCAACCTGAGACCGAGCACTTCAGTCCAATCAATTGACGGGAAAATCCAAAATTCAATTGAACTTATAATCATCCTTGTTCACCGAATTAGATTTTACGTGCCTATATACAAATCATTGTAAAAATATTAACTGGCTGACTGGCTGAATTTCAGCATAGAACTTAACACATAATTGCAGCCGCTGTTCAAGTTGCCACACTACTTCCATGTTGCACACGAAGGTATACAAACAGAGAAAATATATATTCAGAAGGACTATAATGAGCAGAAATGTACAGGGAAGAAATATAGCAACACGGAAAAACATGAGGAATAAATTGACCTGAGAGGTCACAAAGAGAGAATTTTTTCAAACCATATCATCAACAGTTTCAAGCAACTGGCTTTTAGCCTTCCCAGAACCATAATAAGCCAGTCTGCATGGATCAAACCAACAGTCAAAGACTTTCATGAACTGATGCCATGTTTTGATTTGATCATGCTTAACTCTTTTCCAAGCTAATCCTATGTCAGCTAACATTGTTCTACAAGAAAGGTGTCGCTTTAGTCATCTTAATAATCAAGATCTTATCGATTCACTTGCATTCCTTTTTTGTCTTCAATATTACTCACTAAATAATACCGGTTAAAATGGGAGATAGAGACCAAACATGTATGGTTAAGATATGATGGAGAAGATTTGTAGCTCAGGTGGATGATTTTGATGTGGTTGTGTTCTCTGAGCTGGATAGTTTATTTTCGAAGCTTTCATCGCCCTACTAGGCGACATCTTCAGCGCATACTTCAATTTCTTCAAGTGAGCTTTTAGATTTCCCCACGAGTTTATTAATCATCTCTCCTGGTGACCTTGGACGTGATTGGTTATTTTTGTGTGTTTTCACACCGTCTAGGCTACTTGTATTGTAACTGATTGTTTCCCTGACTTGAACTTTGAACCTTTGTGTGTGAGGTTTCCTTTTTATCAATTGGTAAATTTTGTCTATGTCAATATGTCTGTTGATTGATGATTCACTGGAATACCAAGCTTCTAAAACTTCTCTAGCATTCTTGGTGTTTCCCCTATCTAGTATTTGAACGTTGGCTGTCCCAGTCGAATTGATGTCCGTGGTTGTCTGCATGCCGTGAGGTGATATGAGGGAGTGTATGTCATGTCTTTTGACGGCTAGCTTATGTTCATGGATACGAAGACGAAGGGAACGTCCACTTTGGCCGATGTAGTGTTTCTCGCAGTCGTTGGTTTTATCTTCTTTCGCTGTTGAGTCTTTTGGTTGACATAGAGCTAGCTGAGTGAAGTAATTTTGTTGGTTCCTAAAGGAATTGATGTCACAGTTAAAGACAAATCGCCTTTCCAGGTCTTCCACTACCAATCACCATTTCCCATAGACAAGGACAGAGTGAACTTATTCGTAGTAGACATCTCCTTTCATCGATAGCCGGATGTAATGTCTACATCTGAGTAAACTTCCCAGATAAGTGAGTGAACTGATCAACAGGTTTAATCATTTCAAATATAAACTGAATACTATTAGTAGTAAATAGAAAGATGATTATGTACAATAGGAGTAGTACTAAGAGATGTCTAATTGTTACTTCGTTTTTCTTTTTTCAATTTTCTCCTATATAGAATACTTCGACAGCAATGATAGCATTGACCGTCTGTATGGAGAAGTATATGAATACGTCAATGAAATGATTCTTAAATAAATTTACAGTTAAAATATACTACTCGAAAATCATTTGCATTTCTGTATAGTAGTTGGTGGCAGTTAGTCACACTTGTTGTACTTTGAGGCCTACTGATAATACTACTAACTACTGCCCAAACCTCAGTAGGCGGAGAGGCGTTCGGAGGATTTATCGAAAAAGTAATAGACGTATTCTTTGGAGCTATACTAAGTAACTTTAAGAAGCATTGTGAAATGAAATGCAGCATATGCATAGGCAATATTAGATTCCTTTGGTTTTCCTGTAAAACGACTGGGTTTTTAAAAAACATTTATAATCGAAAAGTCGCAATTGGTTAGAAGGCAAACACTGCTATTGCAAAGTGCTGTGCTGGCATTACAGAGCTTCTGTGTATATCATAATTCAAGAATGGATAGATAGCACATTATGCTAGGAAGTATCATTTCTGTCATATGAAATCATGAATGTGAAATATTTATGAAGAATGCTTCGAAATGAAAAGTGTTACAGGTAGATTTCTTTGGCGCGTCATCAAAGGCATTTCCAACAAACTGCGAAATTCCGTCAACAACTGCCTTCGCTGGCTCCATACTAAAGATCAGACGGCCAGAGAGGATAACCAACAGAGACTTATGGGAACAAACAAACCAAGAATCTATTGGCTAACATGTTATGACCGGAACTAAGACCTAGTAGACTATGGGTGAATACTAACTTAATGCGCTGGCTAATCTGTCCTAATAGCACGTCAACAATATAACCACCAGCACGCAAAGACAGAACAAAAGACTGGACGTTAATAAGAGAACTTTTACTGTCTCAAAACAACAGTCGAAAAAAGGTTAACGGCGCTTGAGTATACATATGTTTAGAATGACCTTGAAAGGCACTAATGTCATTGATAAATTAAACAGTGAACAACCAATCGGATTTCAAATTAGGTCACTAATCAATAAGTGGGGTGAAAGAAATACAAACAGACATGTAAAAATGACCTATAAGAAATTAGGTTTATATATCAGAACGAATGTTCCGATGGAAATGGAGACACACATTGAAGTGACGGACCATTGAGTGACACTGCGCACTAGACCATCATTGGAGTAGGACCAGAATTGGAAACGACGAGTTGGATATCAGAGAGTGACATGGAAAAGATGAGTACATATGGGGAATTGTGGAGCTAGCTAAAGAGGACAGCAGAGAACAGGATGAAATAGAGATGTACTGCTGAAGTCTTTCTTATGTTCCACTCGCAACCCAAAGTGAAAACAATGATAATGTATAATATTTCTTTGGCTAAAGCGTTGCGAGTTTGCTTTTTAAAGGAATAAGACTTCGAAACTCCAAAGAAGCTATCGCTAGATTGTGCGTGAAGTATAATTTAACAATGATAATAATGGCTGACAAGAAATACACTATACGACGTGATATAGCACCAAAACAAAAGTGAAGGGAAAGGATGTAGAGAATACTAAAAGAGCAGTCATCGAAGATACACTAGGGAGGACCTTTCATTTCTACCTAAAAAACGAAGATAAAACAAAGTCATAGAGGGACTATCACTTGTTTCTGATCTACACCAGGTAGTGGTTAACTCATACATATAATGCTGAACTGAAGGATGTTTTAATTGAAGGTGTGATAGATATCAGATCTATTGAAATAAATGTCGGAAGATGTAATCCATTATTGAATGAACATCATCACCTTGTGCGGACACTTTCAGATGGCTCTCAAAATCCCGTCGAACATCAACAATTTTACGGGAATCTTGGTGACTGAAACTCACGCAGTCGTTGAGCAATCTCACCTGTGAAAGCCCAGTTTACACGGAATACGGTGAAAACGTATGCATCAGAAAACTAAACTGTATATTTACTACATTTAGCAATACTGGTTATATGTCGTCAAACAGTAAGTAGTGAGTCATTGTAAAGATTAAACTTCATACAAACTGTATGCACTTGATTTATAAAAAAAGAGATTACGATTCTGACAGTGCTAAAGATGACAAGGTATTCATGAATATCACTAAGAATACTAATTTTCGATAATATACGATTATAAACCTGGAATATTATTTATGAGAAATGCTTCTAAATGAAAATTTTGCAATTGCACTTCTGTGGTTGAAACGTCTTGCATCTGTTTAAGTCAAAATAAAGTTTTGAAACTACTAGTAAGAATGAACAGCTGCATATATATATATATATATATATATATATATATATAGTATGTTTCATTTGTCATATCTTCGCTACTAATCACACAACTATCCGCACATGTGAACTTCTCTAATCACTAATAAGAGTTCAACTCAGAGAGTAGACAGAGATATGGGTTTCTGCGAGTACTTTCTGGTGAAATGGTGCAAAATCAGATTGTATATTTATTGGGATAAATCATCACTGAAGCGAGACTACATGTATGCTATTATTCCCTAGGTTTCCGAGTGAAAAACAACACTTCAGCGGCTCATCTCCATTTCACTCTGTTCTCCAAAGTCTGATTTTAGCTGGTTTCATAATTCCCACAATTTTACCCATGTCACCGACGGACCCACGCCCAACTCATCGTTTCCCATTTCGAGAGATGTAACTCAGTAGTCTTCACAATGTGTGACTGATCCATTCATCTACATTTTCTTCGAAATATTTGTTGCGCAATAGGTTCATGGTTGGTTGGTTTCTAAATTTCCCTGTTGTTTATGCCTTCTGATCTTTAGTATGGAGCAAGAGAAGGCAGCTATCGATGAAATTCTGCGACAGGCCCGTTGGAAATGCTTTCTGTGACGCACAAAGTCACTGAAGCATATGACTATATTAGTGTTGAAAATTTGAATCTCGTTCTTTGTGCTGATTGCACTTAAATGGGACAGTAAAACGATATTCTCTGCATGCACAGTGTCAAAAGTTTTCTGTCTATGGCATTTCCAAACACATCTTTCTGGAATGTCATCAATGGGACACAGTTATGCATGAATGACAGGATTAGGTTACCTCGTCACAAGGATGGTGAGGTAAAATGAACAGAAACAGTTGTCTTCCCAACCTATCCAAACTGTTTTCGCGTAGACTAGGGACAGTAACAAATTGCCACAATAAGATAATATGCAGTAAATAGTAATATAACTGGATTTCGTCAAATAGACATTCAACCAAAGTGTCCAGTAGCTTCATACCTGCTGAAATTTTTAGTGTTAATAAATTTTGCCCTTTCTTTGTCATTGCTTTTGTTACATTGTGTGAAGTTTGTATTTTACTATCTCAACAAAGTCAATGGTTATTTAAAATTTTACAATACAGATCTAAGGTATATGCTAACTGATAAGTGTAACTGAGGCTAATTTTACCGCAACGCAAAACTCGAGAGCATGTCAACTATAAAACACGTCAGTTAGGACTAATACAATATTCTATATATATACGCGTCGGTGGCACAGCGGTAGAATGCTCGCCAGCCATGCAGGTGGTCCAGGATTCGATCCCCGGCTGGCGCACCTCTTTACATCGCTAAGCCAATAATAGGACTGGCAAAGAGGGAAGGCTGGGCATGAGGCTGACAACCCCATCCCGTAAAAATAAACATCACTACTATAGAAACTTCAAGCCTGTAGCTTGAAGCCCTATGTTCCACTGGGAACGTAAAGGAATTATATATATACTATAAAAGATTCATGATTTTATGTCAAGAATAGAACACTAGGAGATCGATAAAGAAGATATGATGGTAAGTTATTATATTAACTCAGTATATAACTAGCATTCCCACTACCGAAAGTCTTGATACCATTTTCACTCTACTAGAATCAGACACAACCCTATCACAAAGATGTCCACTGGATACCAGTGAAATAATTAACACCTTAAAATTCTGTCTGGAAAGTAATTATTTTAAAGGGGATTTATGTAGACAGACAAATATGTTCACCAGTTTCCCTAATAGTCGCTGACATTTTCATGAATACATTTGAAAATAACATCTTTTCAAATATATTAACGTCTACAATACGACTGAGATACTTTGATGATACTTTTGTTGTGCTAGAGCGAGATATACACAGTTCATTCTTGGAGAAACTGAACAATCTATCTCCCAGCATCCAGTTTACTTCGGAGGCAGAAGTACCATTTCTAGACTGCCTAGTTAAGAAGAAGGAAAACGGACATTTTAGTATATCTATATTCAGGAAGAAAACCCACTCCAACAAATATTTAGACTTCGGGTCATCATACCCAATCAGCACAAAGGTATCAGTTGTTTCAAGCCTTCTTAGACTAGCGCACTATTTGTTAGAGGATGAGAAGGAAAAAGAAATATCGAACATTACTGAAATCCTCAAGAAAAATAACTACCGAAAGTCTTATTAACTAAATCAACACTGACATTAACGTGTTCCGAAGACATGGGCCTCAACAGTTGTCATTCCATATAGATCAGAGACGTCACACGATATCAGAAGAGTACTCAATAAGCACAATATTAGAGTTTTCTTCAAAACATCAGACACACTACAAAGCAATCTTGTCCATATAAAAGAACAAATCCCTAAAGATTCTCTATCTAAATGTGTATATAAAATAAAATGCTTGGAATGTGGTGCGATATACATCAGACAACCATGGCGAGAAATCAAAATCACAAGAAATGAACACCGTAGAGCATCTGTTCGACCACTGAGAAATCCAGTTAAACTAGAAAAGCTTGAAAAATCATAAGTCATAGGTCTGCACGCTATAGAATCAGGTCACAAAATTGATTTTGACAATATTGAAATAATCCAGAAATCACGAAGAACTTCTGATATCATCAGAAGCACTTCATATCAAATGGAACCTAAATTATCTGAATAGGAATGATGGACTAAAACAGAATTTGACTTGGTTACAACAACCCCGTCCGCCATGAAATGATAAAATCAACACGAATGAGATAAGCAATTTCATTATGTAAACACATTCTGCTTTTATAATTTTATACACTTATCCAATCTAGCAATCTAAATATGGTTTTTGTTATCTTCACCAATTGACCAACTTGACAACGCAAAAAAATTACCCCATTTTGATGAACGATGACTAAGTTGTTACAACATTTAAGCTAAAATTTTGTAAATGCTGGTTTAATATTACTACTTTGATAAAGGCCTCCAAAGCCTCAGGATGGTCGGGGGTGGGTGCCTTGCGCTGCGGGTTGGCCATCCCTCCGCACACCTCTTGAAATACTCCCATATGACAGGGCGTCTTACATAGCCTCTCCTGAGGAAGTCCTACTCACTGCCGTCACGTGGCGGAGGTGTTTTTCACCAAAGTGAGAGGGCGAAAGCGGATGCCCGGCGCTCTTCACCGGGTTGACTGTCCATTGGATGACAGTCTAGGGGAGATGGCTAAACCCTGATTCCAAACCTCCAACGACTGGCGTATGAAGCTCACTGGAGCTCACCGGCAGACGTATGGACAAAGGGCTTGTTGGATGTCCTGGATGTCTGGCCCCATTCAAAAAGGCGTATGAACCGAACTCTGGTCACCGGCTGCCAATGGATAGTGGACTCCCTACTCCACTCCTACTGCCTTGTAGGTCACACTTGGTTGTGTAAAGGCTAGAGCTGCACTCTCAAACAAAAGGCCGAGCGATTCTGGGGACATCATTCGTACCAAATTCCCATGAAACTTCATGAGCTCTCTTACAAATGTCGCCATTACCATCTTGGCGATGTCGCAGGGGTGGACAGCTGAAAACATGGCTTGGTACAGTCAAGGCTGATATGGAGTGCCTGGGGCTACAAACCGTCTACGGACTCCGTTTGTGGAACAAGAATTGGATAACCCTGTCGCAAAACCTTGCATCAGATCGCCGCGCCTGGGCAGCGATGATTCGAGATGTTCATGAAGCCGGCTCATCCTCCCGTAGGAGATAGCCAAAGTAAAGTAAAGTAAAGTAAGTACTTTGATAAAGCTATTAGCAGCATTAAATAGCGGAACATCAGTAAAAACAACAATATCATTTTGTTTTTCATCCATTGGTAAATACAAAAACTTTTATTAAATAATGAATAATACAATATTTTTATTTAAAAATGTGAAAAATACCATTAAAAGAAAATGGCATTTATTATACTGTACAAAAGTTGACAAAGTTATCTAGAATGAATTATCATCACATAAAATAAACAATTTACACATTCAGTTGTAAAGTGTACGTATGTACAGAATGAGTTTTATGCATTACAATTTTTGATCGATAAAACTTGAGATGAAATCAGTATAGGCTTGCTTTGCCTCACCATGAGTAGGAATATAATGTCCTCCATCATGCAAAAATACTCGTGGTTTAGACGAGAATATATCCAATATTTCGTCAGTCATCTCTACAGTTACAAGGGGTAAACGTAAATATTCGAAGTAGATATCCATGAAATATGGTTGTAAAATAAACATTCAAACAAAATAAATTAGACGTAAAGTAGTGTTACACACGTTGAAATGATCACAGAAGACAATGATGACGTATCACAATGTGGAAATTTGCACGAAAATTGCATCAGTTCAACTTACTACACAAATTAAGGGAATAGAAACAGAAATAGACCCATACCATATAACACACAAATAAGAGAGCAATGAAGATCACCTCCTACAAATTACACTCTATTTTTACTTTAACTAACACTGTTCACAGGCAAGACAGTCCTTTGGAATCCATAGTACATGTCGCAGCCACAACAACTGATGTAGCTCCACAAGATCATCAGTAACTTTCCTGCTTTAGAAAATAATCTGTCCCAGACTCTATTATTATTTAGTATACTGCACAACCTTACCTGAACAGCTCAAATGGATACGTCTACGGTCAAAAACGTCTAATTATACCATACCCTTCACCTTCAGCAACCATTTCTGAGTAGTACAGACACCCTTTAATAGGTAGTTGGATATTACTCTGAAACCAGACATTATGGGAGCTGGAATGTACTGAATACGTCTTTAATATCCATTCTGAAATTTCGTCAGTGACTACTCGATTCGGTTTGATGCAACTTCTCAAATAAATGAAGTGTTGTCAACCAATACTCAACCAATTCACCTCCTGCCTGGTTTAAAACCAGGAGTTGGTGCAAATCCTCCAGTAGCATCATCTTACATTTAAAAGTCGTGAACCATATGTAGATACTTACTCAGACTGTTCAGTCAACACTAAGGACCACTAACTAATCCGTATTTGGTTACAGGATTTCATCATGAGCTGATATCGGTTAAAGAACCATTGGGTCATTAGATCGGGTCCCAGAGACTTCATGGTCTACGAGCTCGCCTCGTGAGGTCCTGATTTCGAAAACTAGGACGAAACAACTGCCCCATACTCCTAGGTTTTCTAATGGCTCTTTAACCGATGTCAGCTCATGATGCGATCCTGTAAACAACCAAATCAAATCCTTGCAAACCAACACATTGAATATCAATCGAGATTTTATGAGTAGTTACTACTGGTTTGCCCAACACTATTAGATTGGAATTTCTGATGTCTAATAAAGCCCATAATTTACTCTAGACTCAAAAATGAGAATCTCATTGAAGAGTTTTGCAATTTGATCAGCACCTGACTTGCCTTTTCTGAATCCGGCTTGTTCTGGGTGGAGTTCTGTATCTAATGCATCCCCTATTCTCTCCAGGATGATGGGACTTAGTATTTTACTTGCCATAGACAAGAGTATTATCCAGCGCCAGTTGTTGCAGAGGCCTAAGTCGCCTTGTTTTGACAGCTTGACATGGTAGCCACCCTTTCTTCCAATCGGTAGGTATCTTTCCTTCTTTCCAAACCTTTTGCGATAATGGCGTGAGCACAACTGCCGTAGTCTCTGGATCCGTTTTCAGTGCTTCGGAGTAGGGAAATTCCATCTGATCCCGCTACCTTCCTGGACTTCAGTAGGTTGATCGCACTCAAGATTTCTGCTTTCATTGGAAGACTAGTGTCCACTGATAGGCAGTTGTGTGCGTGCTGTTGGTGGTGGTGCATTTCTGCGCAAGTTGCAGGTGATGGTCAATTCAAGAGTCCTTTAAAGTGATCAGCCCATTGGTAATCAGGTTCCCTTCAGCATCTTTTATTGATTTCATCATCTGAGTTGATCTGTTCCCGGATAGAGACCTTATGCCTATATCTAATATAATGTCCTGAAGTAACGATAATAATGATAATATAAATTAGCAAGCATACACTACTTTGAATATTTCACAGCAGTTATAAACTTTCACCAATATTTCAACTAACCTCTAGAAATCACTGAGTCAGTTTTACCACAAACAATCAGACTTGGTATTGTTGACTTATAAGCGTAAATGTTTTTATGAAGTGAACAACGACTGAGGAATGGTGCTATCAATACTGTGAATTTAATCGGTTTCATATTCCAATCTGAAAAATCTTTATAAACGATGAAAACAAATGATTTTAAAATGGTAATAATAGTAGATTATGAGGTAAACAACAGTATCGAAGAAAATCAATAACTGTCATTGTTCATGAGCATTAATATAAGCATACTATATCTGAAACACTTATCGAAAAAAAAAAAACGTTTGTTTAACCACTACCCAGCATTATTTGTAAACTATCATGACACACGATATTAAAGTATTAATAACTGCCTTAAAAAAATCAAAAAAGGTAAAAGAATCGTGATGATTGAATCGTTCAGACACATTCTATACAAAAACTAGCCTTAACTCCATTATGGATAAGATTTTATTTTGATAAATCACACAGTGTTGTACAGTTACATTAACTGATGACGTTTCGGGCACAAACTATTGCTCATAATCATATCAAGTCACTCACACAACTTTTTCCTTCATTTATATACATGTGTGGAATCGATTAGATATTTGAATAAAAATCAATATGAGATAATGTACATTCAGAAATAATAGTACGAGTGTTATTAATCCATTACAATTAGATGGGAAATACAGCGAGTGTTTCTATAATCATAATAAGTTACTTGTTAGAATTGTTAGCAACTGCACTTCACGCATTAACAAACAACAACACAATAGGGTGGGACAGGGTTAAAATTCTAAAGAGTAACATAGGTAGGTGGAGAGAGAGGTTGATTACGGAATCCTTATTCATCAAGTCTACACCCAACACATGCAACAGAAATGACTCAATGCAAATACCAGAAATATGGAAGATATTATTACCTCCGGTCAAATCAGAAGAGAATAATAAATAATCTTAATATTCTATTTCAATTCATTCTAACAAGTAACTTATTATGATTATAGAAACACTCGCCGTATTTCAAATCTAATTGTAATGGATTAATAACACTCGTACTATTATTTCTGAATGTACATTTTCTCATATTGAATTTTATTCCAATATCTCATCGATTCCACACATGTATATAAATGAAGGAAAAAGTTGTGTGAGTAACTTGATATGATTATGAGCAACAGTTTATGCTCGAAACGTCATCACTTAATATTACTGTACAACACTGTGTGATTTATCAAAATAAAATCTTATCCATAATGCAGTTATGCTTTACCACAGTGCCCAAGTTTTATACTTATATCAAAAACTAGCCTTCCTTCCTTCCCTCTTTTTGAGGTGGATTTCTCGACGCCTATTCTGTGTCAACTTCGTCTTTAAATACATAAGTAAAATACCCTGTATTTAAAAAAATACAACTAATGATTCTGTACTAGTTGGTAAGACAAACATTTAAGATGCTATTAACAAAGAAAAACCTGTTTGTATATATGTTTAAAGCCAACGTTGGCATAAACATCAAATTTCAAGAGTTGAATCCTAATAAAATCAAGGCAGAAGCTAGATTTAAATACTTTTTATACGGAATGACAACATTTATATGAATGAACTTCAATTCATATTTCATGACGAAGCCACATTAGTAAGAGGAGAACACTGGATATATGTTTCAACCACGTTTGGGGTTCTCTCTCACTTACGATCCTAAGGAGGATCAAATCCAGCATCTATAAGTTACGAGCTGGGCATGTTTACCATTCATCCACTGGGTTGGAATCCCATGGATACTAGTTTCTGTCCATTCGCGAAATAACACCGCTGCCGACCAGTGTCATCGATGAGGATTCAGATCATAGTTTTGTAAGAATCTGAAAAGTTCTAAACTAAAGCAAAACAACCACCCAATGTTCCTTGCTTTTTAATGATCTTCTCACTAACTAACGAGAGAACCAGGCGGGCTTTAGACCAGGAAGATTCTGGAACATAGGCATACGTAACAGCGGCGTCCAACAATCGTCATATTTCTTGACCTGAAAGCGGCATTCGATTCTGTCGACCGAGAGGTACTCTGGCGACGTTTGGCTTAAAAAAAGGAATGACGAGAAAATACATTGCACTGATCAAGGCGCTCTACTCGAACTCATGCAGCCAGGTGAGAGCTTATGGCGAGTTATCATCTGAAGTGGTGACAACTAGTGGTGTCCGTCAGGGATGCCCACTATCCCCATTTCTCTTTAATTTTATTATAGATATACTAATGGAATTAACCCTAACTCAGGGATTGAGTTGTTACCAGGGTACAATTTCGTTGACTTAGAATATGCGGATGATATAGTCCTTCTACGTGAATACGCTGACAAAATGCAGAGTCTTCTGAACACCTTGAGCTGTAATCCACGAATGTTTGGTGTATGATTCGCTCCCGTCAAATGTAAGATGGTGAGGATACAAGACTGGACTATATTGACTCCTAGCTCAGAAATAGGGAGTGAAGTGGTAGAGCGTGTTGACCACTTCATTACTTTGGGGAGTTGCATCAGCCCCAACTGGTTGGTCGTTGACGAAATCTCATCACGGAAACGGAATGCTCGTTTCGTATATGCCAGTTTACGCCGTCTCTGGCATAGACGTGATATCCGGCTGGCTATCGACCAAAGGGCGTGTGTACTGTTCATCAGTTCGTTCTGTCATCCTTTACGATTGTGAGTGAGACATGGCTATTGAGAGTGGAAGATACAAAAGGACTAGCTTTCTTTGATCATATGTGTCTGCGTTCTATCTACCGTGTTAAGTAGTGTAATAAGGTGAGCAATATTGAGATTAGGCATCGGTTGAGGGCTAAATAAGGAGGAGAAATCAATCGACAAGATTGTGAAGTTACATTGATTGAGATGGTTAGGACATGTGTTAAGTATGCATGTCATGCCACCGCCTTCTTCAGAGGGCAATGTTACCTGACATAGGATCAGGTTGGAAAAGAGCCAGTGGTGGTCAAACCAAAACATGGTTTCATCAGTCAATGAAATCCACAACAGTTAGTTTAAGCCACGTAGGAAGGTGTAGACTTCCTGGTTGGGGTCCTCGGGATGGTAAGAATCAATGAAGGCTGGAGACAATCGGTGATATGGCACAAAACCGTTCTCAATAGCGCAGACGCATCCACTCCTTGTAATTTATAATATCCAATAAAACCACATTGTTCTTCCATATTCCTATTCTTTTTGCCTCGTACTACTGCTTTTTATCTCTCTTTTGGACCACTCTTTACTCTCTTCTCTTGCTTCGTGTACTACAAGGAGTGTGGTAGCTGGAACTGCTGCACATATGTGCAAAGTTCTATGTTGAAACCAGTCAGTCAGTCAGTCAGTCGACTAATGTTCAATCATGACGAAATCCACATTGAAGTATTAGATACCTCTATGAAAAAGATTATATTAAGATAATACTTATCAACGCAGAATGTACGTTAGATACTTTGAATGACATACAAATCCCAACTATTGGATACATCAAGGTAAATAATAAATATATAAAGTCGTACCATACAGTTTATGTTCCATAATAATCTGCAACATTAAGAGAAATGCTGCACCCTGACTAAAACCAATAATTCCGTCGAAAGGACCCTGAAATTCTTGGACATTCTTATTTTGTATACCTCTTGTTCCATATGTTTTTTAACAATTGCCAATGATTCACGGAGACCAGCATCATAATCACTGTATTCTTGGGCAGAAAAACCTTGAGGATTGGAAAACCACCAAGCACAATCTTTCATATTTTAGGTTAAATCAAATAGAAAATGAACTAACCATTTGCAGTGGAATTCTCTACCATATTTGGTGCACATAAAAAACCTAAATAAAGTTAGATAGAAACAGCACACAACTAACTAAATTCACAAAATTTTTTCAGTGACTTTCGAAATCCACCTGTCTTTTCTCGAAAAATATCAGCATTCTGTCTGTGTCACAAGAGATGTTTTATATATATATGTGTGTGATAAACAGTACCTATAACCATGTAAGCATAAAACCTAAAATCTGAGTTGGTTACTAGCGCTTAAAACCTACTTTTAAAAGTGTCATAGGTAGGTCAATCACTTTTGCAATTGTATGACAATACTTTCGATTTATTGCTTTCCCTTTAGACGAAACCGTTCTAAAAATATAAAAACAATAAAGGATAAAAGCACACTGTATTTTTACTCAATATTGACAGTAAGAGTTCTAAACGATTGAATACTTTGAATGTGACGTTGACAACAAGTTGTAATGTAACTAGTAAAAAAGATATGCGAAAGATCACTGAGTAGGTGTCCTTCACGTGACATATGTGACACGCAGCAACATGAAGGGCAAGTAGTATATGCAATTAATGTTTTACATTTCGATATGAATTTCTAAGATGAACAAGATTGGAAATATTTGGCTGAGTTCTAAAGAAGAGAACATGAAGTTCAGCAAAAATATCTTTTCGACAATTTCACTTTCAAAAACTGTACAATCGCATTCAAATACGTAAATTTACATAGATACAATTATTATTTAATTCCACATAATTACGAAGGCGAATAAAAGGTGACAACTATTTTCAATTTGATATGGAGCTGGGTACATAGGTCGTTGTCTGAGTGTCCTTTCAAAATGTGTCAGAGAACATTACCCAGCATGGCTGCGAAGAGGAGGCACCGCTTCAATCAGAAGTGCCATAATTGAACATCTGATCAACTCCTTCCACAACATCTTAACTGATTCATTCAAAGTCATTTACAAAGCAAAGGCAGTATGTTTCCGACTTCTTTGTACTGTAGAAGCCCTCGCAATATGCATCGAAAAGCCGGAGCTGTGTATTCAAAAGGAACTAGTCCAACCTTTACAACTACCATGGGCCTAGTTCGGTATGTCCCCTTAGCCTTCGGTTTTTTTTTTGTTTTGTTCGCTGTGTGCATTTCTCTCTCTTTGTCTTCATTTAATTCATCCCATTTTTTGCAGTTATAAGAACAGTTATTTTAAGTTTTTTCCATGCTCTTCCTGCCTACACTTGTAATTCGTTTAAAATAACTATTTTGCAATTATACTCTAATCCTGTGTAATTTTTTTTCTAAGCCTCTTGTAATATATATTCATGCCTAACTTTCATTTCAAGCTGAAAATTATTATTATTTCAATTTGTTTCCATGCTCATTTTGTTCACACCTGTAATTCGTTCTAATCCTGTGTAATTTTGTTTCTAAGTCTCTCGTAATCCATATCAAGTTGAAAATAATTGTCACCTTTTATTCGCCTTCGTAATTATATGGAGTTAAATAATAACTGTATCTATGTAAATTTATGTATTTAAATGCGATTGTACCGTTTTTGAAAGTGAAATTGACGAAAAGATATCTTTGCTGAACTTCGTGTTCTCTTCTTTCTAATGTCCTAATGGGTATTTTCCATGCGCTCTAAAGCTTCAATGATGCCCACGTTAAGAAGTTGCATCGAGAATATAAGAAGAGAAACAGCATGAACTGCTTGCCCGTCACATATTTTATTTGAATTATCAATAATATGAGAAGGACACTAAAAGCCGACAGTAGAGTGAGTGGGATGTCACTAAACCAACTCGTTAATACTGTTGGAAATAGACACACGGACTCCTACAAGACACAGACACAGAGCGTCTCCTCTTCTATACACAACTCTCTCCATAGGTAGGACTAGAAGCAACTATAGGAGAATATATGCTCGGATGGCGAAGTACAAAAACTATACAATACCTTATTTAGCACACATTTTAAGTGATGAAGTCAGGATATTACAAACTTACATTTTTTTATTTTTTCTGATTACAGCTTGATTCCATACCGCATTTTTTGGTACAGGTTTGGAATTTTCAGCATGTGATATCGGTAGCCCAAATTTAGCAGGCCGACCATAGATATCAGGTGTGCGTCGGCAGGGGATCGAACCTCGGACCATGTGCATGGTCGGCGAGAGTCTTAACCACTGTGCCATCGACGCATAGGACTCTGAGTAAACGGCCCTATTATTTTCATTATATTACTAATATCTTCACTTGATTTAATTTTATAATTATATTCGTATTGAACAACATTTATTATCCCTGTAACGATAAACTTAGGTGCAATATTGTACTATATGCTGAAAATCCCATATTTGTGGTAACAATTATTGTTTGGAATAAAGCTGGGATAATTTTAAATAATTTATAATGATTCAATCTAAGAAATTAGTAACATATACGGTCTGGAAACTTATAATCCTATTATTATTATTACTTGAAATTTCTGCAGTTTTGTAACTACGTGACCCGTAAAATGAGAGGGGTAGTACAAAAGAATGATAAGAATCACCCACACTTTTTTCCTGTTTGCCTGGATGAATGTGCTACAGATCTTTCTAATATAACATTATCCAATAATCAGAGAGGAGAGTTATTCCTTAGGCTAGAATTTTGTATTCCTCGTAAGCACTTCACGGACTTAGCTATCCATGCTGAGTTTAGAATTTTGTAGACCATATCAAGCCGCTCGTACCAGTATCAGATGAGATCGCCTGGTTTAAAGCCAGGTTGGTGGTTATAGCTGTTCAGTTATTTAACGATCGTCCAAAGCAGAAAAGCAGCTGAACTTCCCCGAATTTCATCGACTTGAAGCAACTGTCAGAATCGCCAAATTTAACCATTATGAAACATGAACAAGGTTCTGGAGTTGTCATCATCAGGAAAAAAAGTGATTATAAATTTGAAATTTTATCTGTTCTTAAACGATAAAAGTAAATTCACGCCATATGATACTTTAGATATTCAGTTATTACAAGTGACGGTGACGCATGATTTACTCAAAACCCTCAGTAAAGATAAATAGCGTCCATATCTCTCATATAGGGAGGCAAATATTTAATTAGAACTTCTCGTAAGCTCTGAATGTACAACATATGATAAAAACGCTTCAACAGAGTTTCTCTACCAGTTTTATTTATTTATTTATTTAAAAGCAGGAAAACTTGGTACAATATGGCACCAAGAAAGATGCGCCACACAATAATAATAAAACAACATAGATTAAAAGTAAAAACATAAGTAGAAAACGGGTAAAGAACTTCATCTGGAAGGAAAACAGTCATGTTTAACAAGTTCAAACAGTATTCGTTAACTATCATCAGGAAGGGAAGAAAGAAGGAAATTGCAACACGTTCGCCATTGATTACGATTCTTGGCCATATCCGATAACGTTTCGAGCCATCGATTCGAGCTATCTCGCGGACCCCAACCAGGGAGTCGTGACACACCAACCGATGCTAATCTAGCACAAATATCCTTCATCCCACGACGCCACGTCATGGACTGACCACCCCTCCGCCTTTTCCATCCCATCCCAGGGCTAGCGAACAGAGACCTGTACGGAAGCCTCTGGGATGACATTCGCAGCACATGTCCAAGCCACCGGAGCTGGTGTTTCCAGATGACGACACTCAATGAATGGTGATCTCCACTGTGTTCAAACACACGCCGCCGAACCTCAGAATTACTCACGCGATGATGCCATCGAACGCAAGCAATCCTGAGGAGACAGCGATGATCGAACACGCAGAGTCGCCGCACATCCTCAGCTCGGAGAGGCCAGGTTTCACAGGCGTAGAGCAAAACAGCCCGCACCGAAGCATTGTATACCCGACCTTTGACAGCCAGGCTAACGTCGCGACGGCGCCAGAGGTGGCTGAAGTTGATGTATACCGCCCTAGCCTTCATTATATGGTTGGAAATCTCATCCGTCACCCCTCCGCCAGCACTCACACAACTACCCAGATACACAAACTTATCAACAACTTCAAGCGGTTCACCCGCAAGAGTGAGTGCAGGTACAGGCTCCTGCCAATCTTGTAACAGTACTTTGCACTTAGACGGTGCAAAGCACATACCATACTTACAGACACTGATCGCCAACTGATTAAGTGCGATTTGGGCAGCCTGCATGCTATCGCACAGTAAGACGATATCGTCTGCATACTCGAGGTCGAAAAGTCTATCTCCAGGTAGCAGATCTACACCACCTTCACGCACATCCTTCAGAGCTGACTCCAGAATGTCATCGATGGCAAAGTTAAAGAGAAATGGAGAGATTGGGCAACCCTGTCTAACCCCACTGTTGGTTGGGAACAGTGATGATAGTTGGTTGTATGCCCTCACTCTACCTGAGGTGTTTCTGTATAGGGCTTTCAAGATGTTAACAAATTTCTCAGGTACACCTCTCTCTAACAGACAGTTCCAGAGCACAGTTCTGTCCAACGAATCGAAGGCAGCCCTAATATCAAGAAACACAACGATCGTTGGCCTGCAATACGTGTGGCGGTGTTCCAACAACTGACGAAGGGTGAACACATGATCAATGCATCCACGACCTGAACGAAACCCAGCCTGCTCTTCGCGAATCAATCCTTCACGTATTTTGCACAGCCTGCGAAGCAAGACAGCAGCCAATAATTTAGACGCGACTGGTAGCAGACTGATACCCCTATGATTGTCACACGAATTACGTCGACCCTTTTTAAAGATGGGGACGATAATGGCTTCGTTCCACATTGATGGTACACTCTCAGTTTCCCATACCTTCCTGAACAACCCAGTTAGAGCCATTGTGAGAGTCTCGCCACCATCTTTAAAAAGAGCCGGGGGTAAATTGTCTGGGCCGGGCGCCTTATGGCGTTTTAACACTTGGAGTTCCTTACGGACCTCCGCTTCGGTGGGTGGGTCGGTATTAACCGACCAAGGAGCACTGGGGCTAATGACAGCAGACATTGAAGCTGGTGGCCAGCTAAACTGTTTCCCGAAGTGCTCTGCCCAGCGTTCCAGGCGTCTTTTCAAGCTGGTAATTGGCGTGCCATCTGCCTCACAGACCGTCTCGCTGACACCTTGTTCCTTGCTGCCGGTGGCTCGGATGAGTTGGAACAGCTTCCGGCTGTTGCCAGATGCAGCAGCTGACTCCATCTCACCCGCACGTTCTGATCACCAGGCCTCGCGGTCCTTACGTAAACACTTTCTTATCTTGCGCGTCAGCGCCTTTCGCTTATTGCTGTATTCGCTGCCAGCCGGAATGGACCGGCATTCATCCAGGAGTTGCAAGGAACTCGCAGAAACCCAGTGGTTTTTGGCGGAGCATTCTTTCAAGCCGCAAGCGGCTACACTCGCTCTTTGCATGGCACCTTGCAGATGAAGCCAATGTTCATCTATACTACTTGGGGGGTTGCTGGCAAGCATTGACTGTAACTCATTCTGATATTTCAAAGAAGTGGCAGGTGCTACTAGTTTGCTCACATCAACGTTTAGACGACGCCTTTTATGAACCCCACCAAATCGCAAGACGAACTTGGCACACACTAACGCATGATCGGAGTCCAGGCATGTGCTCCAGAAGCAGCGACAGTCTTGTATGCATCATCGCCACCGTAAACTGACAGCAATGTGATCGATCTGAGTCCAAGCTTGGTTCGCAGAGGGAGGACGCCAGGTAGCGCTACGGCGATGGTTGTGCCGGAAGTTGGTGCTGGCCAGAAATAGGTTGTGATCAGCGCAAAGCTGCAGAAGACGGTCCCCATTATCTGACCTGCGACCATGTAGTCCCCATTGACCACCTAGGCGATTCTCCTCTGAGCTCAGACGCCCGACCTGTGCATTCAAGTCCCCAGCCAGCACTACGATATCCCTCCGACCCGCCTGTCTCAAGAGATCGCTAAGTTGGTGATAGAACTCGTCCTTCATTGCATCCGGGCTGCAATCCGTTGGTGCATAGGCAGAGACAACAAATAGACACCGCCTATCTGGCCTACTACTCCTTACTTTCGTATAACCTTCCAGCCTCACAGCACATAAACGACTGTTAATGGGGATCCATTCGAGCAGTGCAGCTTCGGCTCTAGCGCTCAGTGCGACGCCGACACCAGCTACGCCGGATGCCGACGCCACAGGGTCCCCGGACAAGTGCAGGTGGTACATACTACTAGAACTTCCAGATGGAGAGGATAATCGAAGCACTTCACTGGGATCTTGAATGCGAGTCTCCGAAATGCAGCAGACATCGATAGCGAGGCTTTCCAACGTTCTTACCAACCCTGCCTGTTGTCCGATTTGCATCAGCGTCCGAACATTGTAGGTGGCCAGCTTGAACGCGGCACGCGGTTTCAGGATATCTGTGTTAGATGTCACATTGGGGACAACCATTTTGAGGGTTACTCACTAACATCTCGAAACGACACAGATAGGCTAGGAATCCAGACAAAGGCGAAAGGCTGTCGAAGGTTAAGAAGTCAAGGTGAGCAAAGGTAAAATACAGGAATCTAAGTATAAAAATAAAAGTAAGGTTGGAAGGACATAAGTTGCTTGAGGTATCATTATTTCTTGAAATCATTTTTGCGAGCGCGCGGTGAGTTTCCATAACAGTTTGTTGCTTCATTTCATTTATTGTGTGAGGGCTGAGATACTGCCCGGGCGCCCAGACCGAAGCAGGTGGTTTTCTTAAGGGACCACTCCCCGAGTCTTTGACTTGGAGTCTAATCCGCAAGGCAGCGGAGCAGCGTCAGGAGCTACGTTCCCATGGTTGCCGGTGACCCATATGGGTTCATACGCCATTTGATCCGATTGGATTCTGGAGCCCATGTACTCCATGGTAACTGCTTTTAGTCTAACCGCTATCCAAACAACCATCCTGACATGGTAGGACCTGCAGGGACATGAGTCCCAGCCAGTTTAGCTTGTTGGGTCACTGCGGCATTCAAGCCCGACCACCACGGCAAGGTAGCAGTTATCGGCCGGGTTCTCTACCAGTTACACTAATCCGACGGACCTCTTATTACTAATCAATAGCAGCAGAAATTCATTCAGTAGGAACAACATGGTTTTGGCCGAGCAACTCTCTCCGAAAACTTCTTCCTCATGCTCTACAGTTATATTCTAATACAAATAACCACTAAAGTTACGCGAAAATTATATCAGAAACTGTATTGGGATACGTGTATAGAATGGAATGATAGTTCGTTATTCAACATCGTCAAATGAATGCATATAAAATGTGCAGTCATTCAGAACATAAGACAGAGTGTGAATAGACAAATGGGTGACATACTAATGTATTTATAGTCAACAGGATATAGGTTTCATTGTGTGGTGGGGTGAGTGAGTCATATTCATTGGTGTGCGAGGAAAATGATTACCACAAAATACATACGAACAAATACCGAAAAATGGGGAACCACTGAATGTAAGTTAAAGCAAGGGCTGACAGATATCAAGTGTAGTGATAAAATAGAAGTTAAATTGTGAACTGTAATAAAATACTAAGGACAAAATTAGCACTGAATATAGAACTACCAATTTCATTTTCATTTTTAAGCATTTTAAAGTCTTAACACTGCCACTCCGTAGTTCCATTCAGATCTTTACTAGTATCCAACTTTTGGAGCAGTTTGTTCGAAATGTTTAAGAAGGAAGATTTAATAGATAGTCCTATATCCAATGCTAAAAAACACCTAAGAACTCATACACTCAGACTTTATGGAAAGGACAATATATCCATCTCCATAGTTTCGTACCCGTACAATATCAGCGGAATTTGATTCGTTCTCTTAGTAATAGAATTAGAGCATATGTACCGAGAATTGTATCGAAGATAAAATCGAAAATCTTAAAAATAACCTGCTACAAAAGAGTTATCCTAGCAATTGTGTAAGGAAGTATGTCTCCAGAAGAACTGATAAAATTAAGCGTCACATGGTGAATAAGAAAAAGCTTTATTTGAGAGTACAGTTCATACGTGATATATACAGTGACATATTAAGCCGTAGGCTGGTCAGATCAGTTGAAAGCACTTTCATTGTTGCAGAACTTCACATCAGTTTATCAACCAGACCGCTACTGAAACAGGGCATCAAAGATGGCCACATCAATTTTTTAAATTATCGCTTGATTCCACACCGTATTTTGGTACAACAATGGAATTTTCAGCATGGGATATCGGTAGCCCAAATTTAGCCGGCCGACCGTTGATATCGGGTGTGCGTCGACCGGAAATCGAACCCCGGACCATGTGCATGGTCGGCGAGCGTTCTAACCGCTGTGTGTATATCAATCCAACTCCTCATGTGGAGCTAGTTGTGTTATTTAGGTAGAACTCAGAGGAATTTATCTTTACGTGAACGTGGACGTGCTCCTGTTTGGCTCGGAAAAAGTGTAAACAAATCAATAAATGGGGCCACTTTGTCTCATCTAGTGGAAAGTGAAAACTACATCAAAACAGATGAATCATTTAAGGTTGTATATCGAGTACCAAACAATCTGCCTAAAGGCGTACGATTACGTCTCAGCTGAAGCGAGAGTTAGAGATTAATAAGAGTAAACTTGATCTATGTGTGCAAAAGAAGTACATCCATCCTTTCTTTAACCTGGCCTACTATAAGGTCAGCAAGTAAATTGTCATCCATATTTTCATGTCAAATTATGCCTTTCTTATTCCTTCTCACCTAGTTCACTTCACTCCATTATTATTATGCTTATTATGTGACAACCTTCTGTAATTTGATTTACACTAAGCTAATTATGTCTTTAGTATTTTATTACAGCTCACAATTTAACTTCTATTTTATCACTACACTTGATATCTGTCAGCCCTTGCTTTAACTTACATTCAGTGGTTCCCCATTTTTCGGTATTTGTTCGTATGTATTTTGTGGTAATCATTTTCCTCGCACACCAATGAATATGACTCACTCACCCCACCACACAATGAAACCTATATCCTGTTGACTATAAATACATTAGTATGTCACCCATTTGTCTATTCACACTCTGTCTTATGTTCTGAATGACTGCACATTTTATATGCATTCATTTGACGATGTTGAATAACGAACTATCATTCCATTCTATACACGTATCCCAATACAGTTTCTGATATAATTTTCGCGTAACTTTAGTGGTTATTTGTATTAGAATATAACTGTAGAGCATGAGGAAGAAGTTTTCGGAGAGAGTTGCTCGGCCAAAACCATGTTGTTCCTACTGAATGAATTTCTGCTGCTATTGATTAGTAATAAGAGGTCCGTCGGATTAGTGTAACTGGTAGAGAAACTCTGTTGAAGCGTTTTTATCATATGTTGTACATTCAGAGCTTACGAGAAGTTCTAATTAAATATTTGCCTCCCTATATGAGAGATATGGGTGCGATTTCGGTCATTATTGGCAATCCTAGCTATGCCGCTTTAACTTTAGACGGAATGAAGTTAGTGCACATTAGAATGTCACTGGAAGTTTCACAAGAGGGTGACGTTGTTACCGCTATTTACGCTACCTTTTTAACTTTTGGTGTTTAGGCCAAGACCAGTATACTAGTCGATAGAAATCCGGAAGAGATGGAAGGTCTGGAGTACACCTGACATTTTTCAGAGAAGCATCAACAGCATCTTCGCTCTCCTATCATGCTAGTCGTGAACTTAACCAAAATAGGATTAGGTCGGAAGAAAGTGAAAGGAACCTTTCACTTTACGTAATCACATCAATATTTGAATTCGTTCTATGAAGTAATTAACTCTATATCTTGATTTTTAAAGAGATTGTAGTCAGGCTCACTGACATGAAAGTATACGTCTTTTATCTTTACTTTCATCATATTTTATTTCTGTACTTATTTTATCTCTCTTCCTCTTTTTCTTATAACCTTCTGAGAATTTCGACTATATTATTCTAATTTCACTGCCTCCCTACAGAAGACTAGGAAGCTTTACCTCACAATCAAGGAGCGAGCACAAAGCAATCAAATTTGTCCAAAATAGTAAATGTACCGACGTACTACGTATATTCGCCTCCTTTGTTCAATATACAATCTATTTCGTAACCAATTTTTTTAGCCAGTTTATACCAAATTGATTTCCATGCAACTTTTGTTTGGTTTTCAAAGTAGGGCATCTTATTTTTGAAAAAATTTCCTTCTGTTTATTCATAATACTTATCTTCCTTGCGTTTAGGTTGACCTAAGGGCAGTAGAACCTCGCCTAGATTACTAGGTCACTAGTATTCTAGCCGGTCCCAAGCCCGGATAAAGAGGGAGGGTTGGGGCGTGGTGCTAGCAACTCCACCCCGAAAACTTAACCAAATTGCTACTAAAACTTCAACGCACAAATATATTCAAAATTCTAAAATTACAAATAGTGACCTTATTTTTCGCTGGAATCGGGGAAGTGAAATGACGCGGGCTGGTGAAAGCCTTCGGGAAGCCAGTCAGCCGGTGTGCCTTCTTTCGATGAAAGCGAAAATAAGGATGGGGACGTGGAATGTTCGTACAATGTACGAAGCTGGGAAGGCTGCTCAGGTAGCCGCAGAAATGAGGAGATATAAAATAGAAGTGTTGGCAATCTGCGAGAGCAGATGGAACGGATGTGGAAGGAGCCAACTATCAACTGGAGAGACAATAATCTATTCCGGTCACCCAGAGGACAATCACGAGCACACCGAGGGAGTAGCCATCATGATGTCACCAACAGCGGCTAAAGCTCTCATGCAGTGGGAACCAATCTCCTCCAGGATAATGACAGCCAGGTTCAACTCAAAAGGAAAAAAGGTTACAATCATTCAATGCTACGCGCCTACAAACGTCTCAGAACATGAGAAGAAGGAGGATTTCTACAGTCAACTACAAACAGTAATGGACAACGTCCCAAAGAGCGATATCAAAATCCTGATGGGCGACATGAATGCGAAACTGGGAGGAGACAATACAGGAAGAGAACTCACCATGGGTCGCGAGGCCCTCGGTGAAATGAACGACAACGGTGAACTCTTCTCAGACTTCTGCGCCTTCAATAATTTGGTGATTGGTGGCAGTGTGTTCAAACACAGGGATATACACAAGGCAACATGGATTTCACCAGATGGACACCAAAAACCAGATAGACTTCATTTCAATCTCAAGGAAGTGGAGACGGAGCCTACTGGACACAAGATCGAGGAGAGGAGCAGATGTGGGTTCAGACCACTATCTAGTACAAGGGACTTTCAAGGTGAAGCTGAAAGCCTCGAGGATACCTGGGGATAGGCCACAATGCAAGTTCAACACTCAAAAACTGAAGGACACAATCACACAGGACACTTTCACTGCAACTGTCAGAGCAAAGCAGGAAACACTACGTGGCACCACTGAGGAATCATCCGTGGAAGACCATTGGAACTCTCTGAAGGTAATTTTCAACGAAACGTGCTCAACGGTTTTAGGAAGAAAGAAGAAGCAAGACAAGGAATGGCTCTCAACAGACACTTGGAAACTAATAGAGGAGAGGAGAAAAGTGAAAGAGAAAATGATTCAATGCAAAGATGGACAAGAGAAAGAGACGCTGAACTCAACTTACACAGCACTGGACAAAGAAGTGAAGAAGAGTGCCAGGAAGGACAAAAGACAATTCTACGACAACCTGGCTACTGAAGCTGAGAAGGCAGCAGGCAAAAGGGACCTGAGGACACTATATCAGATAACCAAGTCTCTATCCGGGAAGAGATCAACACAAGTGAAACCTATAAAAGACAGCCAAGGGAACCAAATTACCAAAGAAGAAAGACAGATTAAACAATGGGCGGACCACTTCAAAGGACTCTTGAATCGACCACCACCTACAACCCGTCCAGTAATACCAACAACAGCACGTACATAACTGCAAGTTGACACCAATCCTCCAACGAAAACTGAAGTCATGAATGCAATCAAGCTTCTGAAAGCTGGAAAAGCAGCTGGACCAGATGGAATACCCCCTGAAGCACTGAAAGCGGACCCAGAAACGACAACAGATATGCTGACTCCATTATTGCAAAAGATCTGGAAAGAGGGAAAGGTGCCTACTGACTGGAGGAAAGGTTACCTCGTGAAACTACCAAAGAAGGGCGACCTGGGACTCTGCAAGAACTGGCGAGGAATCATGCTCCTGTCGACGCCAAGTAAAATCCTGAGTCGCATCATCCTGGAGAGAATCAAGGACGCACTGGATACAGAACTCCGACCAGAACAAGCTGGATTCAGGAAAGGCAAATCATGTTCTGACCAAATTGCAACTCTACGCATTATCATCGAACAAAGCATGGAATGGCAATCAAATCTCTACCTCAACTTCATAGACTTTGAGAAGGCCTTCGACAGCGTTGACCGCGAAGTAATTTGGAAACTACTCGAGTACTACGGCGTACCCCAAATATTCATCAACCTTATTCAACAGCTGTACGACAACGGCACATGTCAAGTGATCCACAACGGAAAACTCAGCGAAGCGTTTGGAGTAAACACAGGAGTCAGACAAGGGTGCTTATTATCACCAATGATATTCCTAATTGTGGTGGACTGGATTATGAGTCAGACAGTGGAAAACGAGGAGACAGGGATATCCTGGACCGACGTGAAGAACCTAGAAGACCTGAATTTCGCCCGTGGATGATTTATGTTTGATGTCACACAAAATCGAAGACTTACAAGCAAAAACCGACAAACTGGTCGAAGAAGCAGCCGGCGAAGACAGGACTGCAGGTGAACATAGACAAGACGGAGGTTATGACAATAACCAATCAACGACAACAACAGCAACAACATCCACCGTCAATCACCACCAACGGGAGGGATTTGAAAGAGGTTACTTCATTCACTTCATTCATTCTAGGGAGCATTGTCTCAACCACAGGAGGAACGGACGAGGATGTCAAATCGAGTATCGGGAAAGCGAGAAACACATTCATCAACCTGAAACCAATCTGGAAATCTTCGTCACTCACCATCAACAACAAAATTCTGATTTTCAATACAAACGTCAAGTCAATTTTGCTTTACGGATCAGAAACTTAGCGGGTCACGAAGAATATTTTCAACAGGTTGCAGACCTTTATCAACAACTGTCTTCGCTCCATACTGAAGATTAGATGGCCAGAAAAAATCACAAACAAGAAGCTATGGGAACAAACGAAACAGGAACCAATCGCCCAACAAATATGCAGGAGGAAGTGGAGATGGATTGGACACTCGCTGAGGAGGCCGTTGAGTGACATCGCGCGTCAAGCCCTCGAGTGGAACCCAAAAGGGAAGCGGCGAGTGGGACGTCCAAGGGGGACATGGAGGAGATCGTGTGAGGAGGAGATGAAACAGTATGGAATAACATGGACGCAAGTGAAAAGAACACCAGAAGACAGAAGCAAGTGGAGACGTGCAGTTGAAGCCCTATGTTCCACTAGGAACCCAAGGGAACAATAATAATAATAAGGGCAGTAGAATTTCATGTAACCTCGAAAGATAATTTTTGATCTGTTCTACTTCTAAGACAATTGAATCTTCGGTCAGATAGTCTTTTGATTGTCATCAGAAAAAGAGATATAATAGTTATGATTAGGGGTATCAAAGGCATGGACAAGAATATTTAACAAAAGAACAAACGTATTTTAGAGACTGACGGTATTGATGTTCATGAATTGTACGGAGTATACTAACGCAAGATCTTATACCAATAACTTCTGTAGTATTCGTCCCTTGTGTACCAAAGGCAAAGCAAAAGACCAGATTTAATCGTCCAAACTACAAGATATATTTCGCGACCAAATAGTAGAACGAGTTGAATGCTTAACTGGCTAGTGGTCGTTCACGCACGTGGGGTTGTGAGGACCCTAAGACAGAACCAGCCGGAAGTAAAAAAACTCAGTGGTTCCCTTATGGGTGAAAAAACTTCCGAGCGGCTTGTTGGAGTGCCTACTGGTCCGTCTACCTATGCTAATAGGGTGTCTGCACATCCCTTCGGTTATGTTTTTCCGTTGTATCTCGTGCTTCGTTTGCTTCTTGTCCAGTGCCCGTCGCACCTGGAAAATAAAACAAGAATGCTAACAAACTTGTTCAGGAAAATATACCAAATCAGCGTTTATAAAAATGATGTGCAGTAAAATACAGTAAAATCATGCAAAGTTTAAAATGTCGAAGAAAGTATACATCTAATTTTTTTAGTGCATGTAAACTGTACGGTTATGGAAAAACATTTTTTTACTTGTGTTTAGTGATGCTGTATAAAAAAATTGATGTGTCTGAAAAGAAAAAATAGTTAATACCGCAAACGATTTAGTTAGGTGAATAGCACCACTTAGTTATGTGATATAGGTATGAAGACATTCTGGGAATCTTATGTTACGTCCAGAACGCGTTTTCTTAGAGGGTTCGACAGAAGGTTCGGTGGCTTTCACCGTGCTAGTGAGTTCTTCGAGGACTAAAGGATATTCGATTACTAGTGGATTGTTGGGTACGCTCAGCTCTAGGCTAATAGGATTAACTTCCAAGTAAGCCGGTTTCAGACGGCCAGTGCTGACGGTGTCTTCGCGGCCTTTTTTGTCTAAGACAAAGAATTTATCCATACGTTTAATGACTTTATATGGTCCGTCGTATGGGGGTTCCAGAGGTTGGCGCACAGAGTCACGACAAACAAATACATGTGAAGAAGTTTTCAAACACGGGAAACAAAGACATCAATGGACTGTGGTCGAAGGGGAGCAGGTTTAACTGAACGCATTGCGTTTGTAAGCCTGCTGACGTATGAGGCGTGATCTACCGCTGGTGAGAAGCTCGAGGGAGAAACAATATTCGGGTAAGTGCTGCATTGGCGCTTGACTGCAAATTATTTCAGGGAGAGAGGAAAGCTCTGGGAAAACGTAAAGTGAAATAAAAGCAGGTAAGGGTAAAGCATCATTAAAAATAAGGAGCTGTGGGGTCCATTGAATGACAGTGTACGTTCGCAGTATATAGTGCTAATCATATTTGTCTTACTATCAAAACTATGATAAAAATATATATTTTTACGTGGGAAAGGCGTTTTTTCTTCTGCACAGCAAGATCCGAAGGGATTAGGGAATATGAACTCAGTGCGTGGTAAATTTAAAGGTGCTCGGACATATGAGACTTGTAGG